GTTGGAAAGTATGGGGCTTGCCGTGAAATTGAAGTGAAATCTAGAGAGGAGAACGATCTCTCACAAGTGCGGTGCTTGTTCATCCCGCGGTGTCCGCGGGACATCGAGAGTGAGCTTTGACCATCCTTCGCATTTAATTGATAATTACTCATAAAACGAATAGAGTGGAGCATGGCTCCAGGCTGCGCGATGTCGCTCCAACATCTGCTGCTCAACCAGGTTTGCGGCAGGGCAAGAGATGGCAAGTAGAATGTCGAACTTGATGAGTGTTTGTTTGTTGCATCGGAGTACTGTAGTTACGGAGTAACTCAACAGTCGAGTCAATCCAGACCATGTCACATGCGCCCACGTGATTCCACCACGAATTGGCCGGATTGTCGCTCGGGATGATTCCGAGCACGAATGGGTCGTCAGTCCATTCAAGGTTAAATGTCCGAGACTCCATTCGATCTTCCGGAATGTCTTAATTGATCCGGTGCCTATGTACGCCGTACTCCGTACAGTGTACAGTAGTTACAGCAACCTGCTTTGTCAGTGACTGTGGCCACCAAATCCTCAGTCCGATAGTCGTGAACGTCGACGAGATGCAGTCTGGACTAGTCTGGAGACTACCCGAGCCCAGCTGGTTGAGATGAACGATGCCTCTTTCTAATGATGGCCCAGTCGAGAAAATAGAAACACTCCATATCCCATTCGGTGGGTCCCGAACCTTGTTAGTCTGGGCAGTTGCTGATGCCTTTTGAGAGCACAGCTTGATACTCCCTATATTCGCCATAGCTCTAGATCATAGAGACCTGGTGCTCTTGTTAGCACATAAAATCCGGAGTTTGAACACCTTTGGCGCAGCTTCCCAGCGCTCCGTTGGGCCTCAAGGACCGCATAATGGAGGGAGTAACTCTATGGGACGAGTCAACGACAATGGGCCTCTGCCAAGGTTCAGATGTATTGGAATCCTCTCAAATCAGCACTCGTGATCGTCAATTGAGGGCCCAAACATGCAGGAGGACTCATATTATCCTTGACCACCGAGCAAGGCCTTGAAATAAGAACCTTGAACAATTCAACGCCTGTAGGTCGATCGGCAAACCGGCACGGGCGGCAAACCGGACCCGACCTGCGATCTCTGTCTAAGTCCGTTGATTGGCTCGTGCCTGTAAATGACTGTAACGTGCTTTCTTTTCCAGTCATTGCATGGATGTGGTGCCCGGGTGTCAATCAACTCGATTCTCCAGATCGTGTCCAGTGTCCACCTTTCCACGGGGATGACCCATGAGTTTAATATTCATGAGTATGAGCTCCATCATGATCTGGGGTAAAACCGGGGATCGAAGCAGGAGCATCAATCCGGCATCCTAAGAATATTGCTATGCAGAGGAACCTGACCTACCCTACGGACAAGGGTAGTGCTTGATCAAATCCCGAAACTACTGCAGACCCCCCTGGTACAAGCGAAGAGTGCCAGATCGTCGAGTCATACAAACATGCGATATCGGTGGTCAAGTAAGTAATGGAGAAGTTAGACTACAAGTTATCGCCAAAGTCTTATCAGCACAGATTGTCGCCCCACTCTCTCGTTGCTCTCTCGCCAATCTTAAGCCTAAATTGTATTCCTGAACCGAATTAGCTAGAGTCCCAGGGCCGCTAATCTTCCAAAAAGTCCTTGTCCATGTCAATCCCACTCCTTCAAGAGGGCTAGCTCTCGCTCCAGTGCCTGGCCCCTCTGGACATTTATTCTCCATTTCGCCACTTTCTATACATCTCCAGCTCTTTCAAGCTGAACCTTGGGGTCCTTGCTACATCTGGACCTGAATGCTACCCATGTGATAGCTTTTAACGGCCTATATCCTATTGTACGAAACGGGAGAACAAGATTACAGCCACATCCTGAAGGCCTTCAAACCAACTCAGCTCATGGAACCTCATTCCTAGTCTTAATATCTAATACATCGCTACATAGAGCAAGTCTCTACTTTGGAGCGTTATACACCGGACTCACACCGGTGCCTCGGCTGTCATAACAGCCAGCAAAGATCATGGCGTCCCCGCAGACCCCGCCCCCAGATGTCCACAAAAGCATTCGTCCCAGCGAGGAGGAGACCACCACGAGATATGCCCACTCCATCGCGGAAACAACATCTTCCGACGAGACTGTCGATCAGATAGAGGCTCTGGCCAACATCAATACGAGGACATCGCGCATCTCGATACCCTCACTAGCGCGAAAGGTGACATCGATTGGCACTACTGGGACAACCGACCCGAACTATGAGGTCGACTGGGACGATGAATTCGACAGGACCAACCCGAAGAACTGGTCCCTCGGATACAAAGCCATGGGGATGTTCTTTCTTTCGTACAACACCCTGATTATGTGAGTTACAATCATCCTTCCCCACGCTCGGAATGTTCCAGGTCCCCAGGATTGACCCTCCTGTTTCTTGAATACCAGAGTTCTCTATTCAACCTCCTACACATCTGGCATTTCTCAAATTGCCGCTGAGTTTGGCGCCTCCACCACAGTGGTCACTCTGGGACTGACCATGTACCTGATTGGGCTTGCCATCGGGTCTATGTTCATGGCTCCATTGAGTGAACTCTACGGGCGAAAGCCCGTTTCTGTCGGATGCCTTGCAATCTTCACAATCATGATCATCCCCTGCGCAGTCAGCAAGAACCTAGCCAGCTTGATTGTGTGCCGCTTCATTGGAGCGCTTTTCGGCAGTGTGATGATCTCGACGGCGCCAGGTATGGTTGCGGATATCTCGCACGATGATCAGCGCGCACTGGCAATGTCGATTTGGAGTATTGGTTCCCTCAATGGTCCAGGTATGCGCAAATGTTGGACCTGAGAATTGAAGACCAGAAAAAGAAATTGACTAGAAATGCAGTGGTCGGTCCCATAGTCGGAGGGTTCGTGACGCAGTACTTGGGCTGGCGTTGGATGGATTGGATTGCTTTGATCTTGTCCGGGGTTGCGTTAATCCTTTCGTGCATACTCAAGGAGACCTATGGGCCCATTATCCTCCAGCAAAAGGCGGCCCGTTTGCGCAAAGAAACTGGTGAATCGCGTTGGTGGTGCCGTTACGACCAGAAGGCTAGTCTGAAGGAACTGCTGACGGTCAATCTGAGTCGTCCATTTGTCATGGCCGTCACTGAGCCGATCTGGTAAGCTGTTCTTTCTACACTTCCCCGATACGCGAGACTAAAGTGGTACTTCTACAGTATCTTCTGGAACATCTACATTGCCATCGTCTATGGCATTCTATACCTATGCTTCACAGCTTACCCCATTGTCTTCCGCCAGATCCGCGGCTGGTCTCTCGGCTTATCCGGCCTAGCCTTCTTAGGTATTGGAACTGGGTGCTTGATCACCATCGCCTGCGAACCGCTCATCCGCCGCATGATCAACAGCCATAAGATCGACCCGGAAACCGGCAAGCCCGCCCCGGAAGCCATGGTGTCGATCGTCTGTATCTCCGCGCTTCTGATCCCCGCGGGGGAGCTCTGGTTTGCGTGGACCGGCTCTCCGGCCTCGGTCCATTGGATCGTCCCGATCCTGGCGGGGATTCCCTTCGGTGCGGGTAACACGGGGGTTTTCATCTATGCGACGAACTACCTGGCGGGCAGCTATGGCGTCTATGCGGCGTCGGCCATGGCAGGTAACTCGGTCATCCGAAGTATCCTGGGCGGCGTGTTGCCTTTGGTGGGGACGTACATGTACTCGGGCATCGGGCCGAAGTGGTCTGGTACGTTGCTGGGATTGTTGGAGGTTCTGATTGTCCCAATTCCGTTCGTGTTCTATAAGTATGGATACAAGATCCGAGAGAGGAGTACTCTCATTCGGCGGATGCAGGAGGACAAGAAGCATTTGGAGATGAAACGAAAGCGACAAATGCAACGAGGTGAGAGGGGGGCTGTGTCAGAGAAAACAAAGATGGAGGTTTAATTTGGAAAGGGATTTTTGCATTGAGAGGAGCATGCATGAATTGGAGAGAGAATCATACGCTCATGTGTTTTCCCCGTAAAGAAATCTCTGCATGGCTGAAACCGAAAGTTAGCGCTTCGTGTGCATGGTCCAAATCTATACGATGACCCCTACTTTGAAATCTGAGTGCAACGTTCAGACTTGCATAGCATGGCTCCGATCATCAGGGCATACGTAGATGCTGAAATTGGGCTTAATACTCCATCACCTCCCCTCCACCTCAGACCGCCCTCCTCACTCGCCGTTCAACCTCCAATGAGTCCCGAAGAATCCGCTCATACTCCCCCAACGCCACCGCACCCGCCGGGATCACCAGCACAGCTTCAATGTAGATAGCTGGGAACACGGAGGCAGGGCCAGCATCCTCGGCATCTTGGCTTGGTTTTCGTCTTCTCACATACCCGAGCACAGTCACCCACGCACCCACGCGCAACTCCTCGGCCGTGACCGATTCTAGCACGGCATTGACGTCGACCAACACCGAGGCTGGCTCTTGCGGGGGTTTACGGTGGGGATAGTTGTGCTCCAGAACGAGGTGGCCTGTTCGGATCAGGTATGTTCTCACGCTGAAGAGTTGAATTAGCTTCTGCGTCTACGGATGAGGTGGGATTGTGCGAGCTTTGAAGGGAACGCAAATGAATCATCCCGGATCTATATAAACTCTATGCGGGAATAGTGGCTGCACATCAAGGAAAGTTCCGACGCACCAACCGAGAAATCGGACTTTCGAATCAATCGGGAGGGAGGGAAGATCCGAGAGAAAACTGCGGGTTGAAGGAAGAGGGGCGTTCATCCCTTCGGACGTTTATTGAGATTTCATCGAACCATACATAGCTGGTGGATTTAGTTGGATTGATGCAGAACTTAAGGAAAGCCTGAGAAGATATCGAAGCAGCGGGAAATGACGTGGACACGTGACGGTGACCTCCCCGATAGGCTTAGCGTGTATGTCATAGGGCCAAAACGAGGGGAAAACCAAACCACTGGGCAGGCGGATTGTCATCCAACTTGGGTTCGTTGCCTTCTCGCTCCTCCTCTTCTGCCTCCTGCACCGGCTTTCAACTCTAGACACTGTTCTGTACTTGCTCTCTCAGTCAAATTAGGCAGACTCGCAGATCTCCTTCTCCCATCTTTCGACACTAACTCCCGGGTCCGATCGAGTGAGATCCACTTATTGCGACCACATCCCACTTCACACCTCCTCGACCGCCTTCCATCCCACTCCAAGGAAACTCGCCGCTCTTCCCCAACAACCCACCCCTTCTCGAGCTTTCGTATTGCGGATCGGTGTGAGACGCAGAATCTCATAGAGATACTCCGTCTTTCACATACATTCTAGACTCTCCCCTTCTCTACACACAGTCCTTATCAACAATGTGGTCCTGGTTCGGCGGAGCGGCCGCTCAGAAGCGGAAAGATGCGCCCAAGGAGGCGATCCTGATGCTCCGCGAGCAGCTGGACATGCTCCAGAAGCGCGAGAAGTATCTCGAAAGCCAGATGGACGAGCAGGATGCGATTGCGAGGAAGAACGTGACGACGAATAAGACCGGTATGTTTTTTTCTTTCCACTAAATCCAACCGTGTTGTGTCCGGGGAAACGGTTGCGGGAGCGTGGTACAACAAACTTCAAACACACAGACAGCTCATATGTTTTAAACAAACAGCGGCCAAAAACGCCCTGCGACGGAAGAAGAACCACGAGAAGAACCTCGAGCAGACGACCGCGCAGATCGTACAGCTCGAACAGCAGATCTACTCGATCGAGGCGGCGAACATCAACCAGGAGACTCTCAATGCCATGAAGGCGGCCGGTGCGGCGATGACGCAGATCCATGGCTCGATGACCATCGACAAGGTGGATGAGACGATGTACGTGTATACATATGTTCATCATGGTTGGAAGTGGCGGCGCAGCCGGGGGCTAACCAGTGGGCACTTGAAACAGGGACAAACTCCGCGAACAGCACCAACTCAGCGAGGAGATCGCCCAGGCCATCACAAGCAGCTCCATCACCGAACAACCGGACGAGGCCGATCTGGAGGCCGAGCTCGAGGGTCTGGAGCAGGAGGCGATGGACGAGCGGATGCTCAAGACCGGCACCGTGCCCGTGGCAGACCAGCTCAACCGGTTACCCGCCGCGGCCAACGGAGAACGTGAGTTCACTACTCCTCTACCTTCCCAGCAAGCTCAATCTCTGGAACGTAAACAACTAAACCTCAAACCTCTAGTCAAAACCCAACCCACACACATCGAAGAAGACGACGAGGAAGCAGAGCTGGAAAAGCTTCGCGCCGAGATGGCCATGGGATAAGTGGGGATCGGGGGGGCGCTGTGCACCCCCTCCTTCTTTGCTTTATTCTGTAATTCTGTCCCTCTTATCTTAAGAATATCTTGTGCCGTCTGCCCTTGCGCCGCTTCTTTTTTTCCCGTGTTTTGCTCTTTCACACCATTTCTTATTTTTCTCTCTCTTGCGTCTTGGAGTTGAGCCGCGTTTGCGCTGCGTTTGCCCTTTTTTTTCACTACTATTACCACTACCACCACCACACTACTACTACATTCGCATGATGGAATGGAATGAATGAATCAATGTCCACAACTAGATACTATTGACTACTGCCTAAACCACTGAAACAATTTCAAAATGCCCGTGCGCTTAGCTTATATTGAGTCCCCGCAAAGAATCTGCCTGCCGTGCTGCACCCACCTCCCCCGCGAGCTTGCCCGTTCTTTTGGCCTAAATGAAGACATATCATGCTGGAGCCTGGAGGCGTTACTCATTCTGCCTTAGAAAGTTGCTTTACAGACTAGGTAGGTACATACTATCGGGCTCAGCTGGCTGGCGAACCCCCATGGGACCTCAGGCAGTCGATTCGGTCACGGGTCGGACTGGTTCTAAGTATCAGCCTAGGCCCGACCATCTTCAAGCCCCTAACGCTTGCAAAGGATGAAATACACCAAGGTCAAGATTGTATCGCTTGGATATTCACAAGTGACTGTTCGTTGACTGCTCTTTATTCGGGATAGATGGTCGAGAATGGTGAATAATTTCCGAATGACAAGTGGAGAGGTTCTTGCGGAGAATGAGCCGAGGTGGATGAAGTATAGGTTGGTGCCTGGCCGTCTACGCTCAGACATCTCCCATTCAACAGGCATCTCCCATGCGAGGTAGGCTGCTACATGAGAAAATAACCTACTCCAGGGCCAGAAGAGTAAAGACGACGCAAGTCAAGCTTCAGCTATCAGATTAAGAAAAGCTATTAATACACATTTCAGGGGGGACCCAATTGATCGATTGATATGAATCGGAAAGCGCCAACTCCAAGGAGATGTTTACCCTTCTGCAAAAAAAAAAAATAAAGGTGAAAAAGGGGGGCAATGAAAGAACCCATCCGTAAGAACGCGTGGAAACCTGACACCTCCGTCCCTGTGCCGAATTTGGATCGAATTTGTGAGTGAAAGGATGAACTCTCGGATATGTAAGGAGACCTGGGAAAAGAAGACGCCGTTGCATGATCAGTAGTCGGAAAAGGAACATTTATCGTAATACTTTTTCGTCCGTCCCGGGCCAGCTATTTCCTTGCAATGCTCTCCAAACGCGATGGGGTATGGCTCAGAATAGCTAGCTATTCAATTGTGCCTGCAGGATTGGCCCTGGGAAGGGGAAGGATAACGTGACACACATCAAGGGAACCAGGCGTAGCTCTTGAGCGGATTGCTACGGGCTCCGTCAGTGGCCTCGCTGGCCCATTTCGACTTCCAATGCAATTCATTTGCGGCGGCATCAAGAAGAGCTTCCTGGCAGGTCGGCGGGAGTTCCGCGAGGATTTCTGGACTCATAAATTCGGCATTCTTTGGATCAGCGACGCTGAGGAATCCATTGGAGCCGACATCGTGGACATCACCGTCCGGGCCGGGAATGCCGAGACCTGAATGCGGGGCGGTTTCAAAATGGACATCGTGGATGGCGAAGCGACGAGAAAGAGCCATGGGGACAGAGGAGAATATGGTAGTGGTTTCAGGATCGGTCGGTTCGGTTGTTGTTACTGCCGTCGTGTCGCCGGCGTCATCCATCGATTCATCGGCTTCCCTATCCGCCACAACAGTTGACTCGTTGGTATCTTTACCATTCGTCAACCTGAGGGTCGACATTCCCTGTGCCAGTCGACTCGCAAGGCGCGGGTCAGGAGGCGGTACTCGCTCCCAGCGAGCATGAGAGGGCTGCATGATCTTTGGGTACTGCATGAGGTTGGTGTGGATGTCATATTGACCATCCAGATTCATGCGGCGGGTCTGGGAGAGAAGGCTGTTGAAGTTGCTGTATCCATAAATCAGCATCGTATGATTAGCCAAATCAAGAAACAAGAAAACGCATACCTTGCTTCGCGAGCGTGCTCAAGCATCCAATTGTCGCCTGTGACTGTGACCTTGCGCTTCTTTGAATCCACCACCTTACCCGTGGGCAAGGGGGCTGCGGGTGTGGCAGTGTGGTAGACGCTACTGGCTCCATGCCATGCGACATACTGGTTCTTGTTATAAGATTCTCCCGGGCCCGGGAGTCTGTCCTCGGGGACAGCGAGTTCACCTTCCACATCTCCTCGTTCTCTCGCAGCCTGGGTATGATAATCGTCGACGACCTTTTTACCTCCAACGATAATCTTGGCGCCAAACTCCCGAAACACGGATCTGGCAGTGACCACGCCGATAGCTCGACCTTTGTAGGAGTGTGGGATGATTTCTCTTTCGATCAAATCGCGCTTCGCGTCATCGTCGATGATGATCTTGTACAAGAACTTGTGTTTCTGGAAGAACAGGTATGAGTCCCTGAATCCGATGCAGCGGGCCGGCTCTGTAGACAACATATACTTCCGGTCGCCACGGTTAAGAAGTGTGAAGACGCGAACTCTGTAATCTCGGCCACCCAGCAGATTTCCGCACTTGTCGACCTTCGTCTCACCCTCCGGGTCGTCGGGCAGGGCTACTTCATCGTCGATGACATCCATCATGTTTCCTTCCTTGTCGATTGGAACCTGCGTAACATGAGACGGTCCGCGATTCCGCGCCCAACGTCCACCGCTGGCAGCAGGTCGTCCTCGTCTCCTCTTGACAGGCGTGCTCACATGAATCGGCGCGGGGGCGGAACCGTCGTCGGGCGCATCCCAGTCTGGGGGACGGTTCTTGGGGGGGCGACCTATGCGACGCTTGCGCGGGATGGCTGAGATGCGACCTCCAGTGCGAGTTGGTGTGTCGCCCCGGGATGGCGCGTTGGAATCTTGTGCAGGTGTTGCCGCCTCTTCGTCTTCGGGGGCCGGGTCTGTTGGGCCTTCCACATCCGGATCCTTGTCCGACGCATCGCCAGGATCTGGCATAGCAGGCGAGGAGCCACGCGACGGCGGTGCTTCGATCATTTCTTCGTCAGAGGCATCGGGGAGCGGAGGTGCGGCATTCCCTAAACGGAAATTAATATTCGCGCTCATCACGGATTCAATTTCGCACGCACGCACGCCCTGGCAAGCAGCCAAAGAAGAATTCTTTACCAGGAAATGCAGGAAGGGGAATATCATACTCATTGATTGAGCTGCTGCTTGGGCAGCCGCTCGAAGTTTGCGGGCCATCGTTGACTGACAGCGAGCGACCGTTTGGAGTGAAAGGAAGGAGGGAACGGGGACGCCAAACAGAGTAAGGTGGAGGAAGAGGCCCTTCGGACGTGCCTTTCCGCTGCCTGTCGCGCTAAACCAAGAGGGTGGTCGGACGCGGATCTTTAGTTTAGCCGAGGATGCTGTATTTATCACGTGAGTAAGACCTGAAGACGAGACTCTTGCCTCAGGCATACATAGAATGCTGCCTTGCCACGTGCCAAAACTTCTGTTCCCTTCCCCTTCCCCTTCCCCTTCCCCTTCTCCAATTTTTTGCCCTTTTCCTCCACTTCTGCCCCCCTCAATGGCGCGATCCCATTGACACTCGCTGCCGAATGATGTCATCGCTTCTTTGGCCCCGTCGATCGCCGACACTTAATTAGCGCTTGCATTGAGTTCTGATTTTCCGGAAAACCTCCTTCGAAACTTATTTACGGGCTTTCAATTGACATTTCGGGCTCCTCCCCACCATGTGTTGCAGTATGAGTATGCGGGATTTTCCGTGGATGGCAAGAGGTGGTTTTACTCGGTACTATGAGCAGGTCCAGGAGCACTGCATACTGCTGCTGCTCAATGAGGGCTTGAGCGACCATCCAACGCTATCGCGATAAGGTAAGCACAGACATTAACTAACCACTGGTATCGACAAGGTACGTAAGAACGTATCGCCTGCGCTTCATCCCAGCAGCCAGCTTCACATGCTGTAGAGAGGAAAAGGCGGTGGACATTCTCTTTTTTGACTTTTGGACACTTTCTGAAACCCCTCTTACCCTTTGCCCCTCCCATCTGCCCCCATCTCCAACCCAACCCCACCATGATAGGGTGCCTCTTCTCCGCACGCGTTGAATATCAGTGCATCTCTCTGAGGGGGTCGGGGGGACCTCCCCTCGTGCAATCATGTTGATCGTGTTGAAGGGCGATCATGTCGTATCGTATACTGAGTACGCCGTAGTGTTTTATCTCTTCCACGGCGTGGTTTACTCCGGAGCAATGGATCATCTTCTGCAGCTGCTGCAGCGTGTGGCCCGGCGATCGCGCTTACACAGCTTCTGCTGCAGGTGACCGGCCTCACTGATCACAGGTCGCCCTTGCCGACCCAAGCAACAACCCTAGGATCGTCAAAACGGCCGGTGGTGACACTGGGGAACTGCGTAGCAGGATTTTGGACTAGAAGCCGGGAGGAAGAAAGTCTATCAGTAATTATACATGGGCCATCCCTCTTATTATTGGAGGCTGCTCAACAAAAGATATCGTTTCGATCCGCGGGCGCAGCTGCAAGCTGTTTTTCTTTCTACCTGCCTCCCGATAAAAAGTCTAACAACAATGCATTATGGAGTGATCTCTCCTCCTAGAGTGTGCGTGCGTTAGTGAAGGACAGAAAGTCAAGCTGACTGACTGCGTCTCTCGGCTGTCACTGCCGTCGAACCAGCTGTCTTGGGAGATCGACTATCCTGCTCCACTTTCCTCCCCCACGACCACTGTTGCGATGACGCGCGAAAGTCGGTAGATTTGCAGTAATAGATAGATGTTGTATTGTGTGGGCAAAGCTTCCCCACTGATCATGTATGTATGTATGTATGTATGTATGTATGTACTATGCTCAGCGGCCCTGAAATTCGTAAGGTGCACATGCAAGGAGATGGTCAGCCCGGAAATCCCGCTAGTTTCCGATGTGGTTCTCTGTTCATTTTTTCACGTTTACGAGGACCATTATCATCATCATCATCGGCGTCTTACTTTTGTTTAGTTGGGACAAGAACGAATTTAGTGGACAGAAGGGAGGGGGGAGGCTGTTGCGCAACGCGTAGTTAACTTAGGGCATCTGACTAAGAAATTAGGAATGCACGGAAAGCCCGAGGATGACATCGACAGTAAACAGTAAAGCGAAGCAGACTCGACATCGAAGGCTTGCTTGTACTGTACGTAAATGCGGCGCGGCATTGCGGCTATACTACCCCCGAAAATAGATTCATGTATGCTGCAGAGTAACCATCATCTCAGCCGGCAAGGCTCTGCCCTTTCATATTCCCATCTGAGATAATCCGGCTTTGACCGCGACCACAACAGACACGAGCTGAAAATACTCCGCGGAAGTGTGATGTCACAAAAAAAATCGCATCTCTTATCATACTAATTATCCCTGGTCTTTCTTCAGCAAGGTGAGCCGATTTCCGGTGGCTGTCACGGCAAGGGGAGTACAGTACTCGGACAAGAACTTTACATACTTCCATGACAGCCAAGGCAACCACTTCAGGAAGCGAGACATTCCTAAGGAGGTAATCGGTCCACTCCCGGTCTGGTCGAGCGCTACTAGGGAAGTAAAATCCCCTTTAGTAGTCCATAGGCGACAACCCAAAGGTGACATCGGTGATGAAATGTCACAGCTTCCTGCAGCTCAAGTGGATAGCATCATCGCCAGCCAAATGATCGAGTCACCCATCCCCTCATCCGCCGACTAGAATCTGTCTGTCAATCAATCATCCATTTTCAATGACCTGCGATGATAGCGTTGGTCGCCGAGGAGACCCCACCCCGTTGCAGATGCCGGCAAGGCAACGAACGGACGGACTGAAGGAGAAAGAGGAGAAGAGGGAAAGGAGGAAGAGGAGGAGTAGCTGGTGGTGGTGGTGGTGTGGCGGGCGGACTTATCATCCGGAAGTTCTTAATTGTAGAACTTTAGGTCGCGCGGCGCTTAGCGGATAAGCCTGGGTGAGAAAAGCTATAGCATCGCTGGAGGAACCGGGGGTACATTACGGAATAGTATAGTTTGGATAGACTTCCTGTATCGCGGGGACCGCTGTCAGATGGTGTTGCCCAGAAAGAAGAATGAAAGCCCTTTCTCCCATGGTACTACTGTACGATGTATGGTGGAAGGAAGGAGGTACGAAAAGTCGACACCAGATCCAAGCAAACGTCAAGGAACAGATGGAAGATCGATCGCACACAGATCTGAATTGATACGTCCTGGGCTGTGGTTGAACGGCATCTCGATGATCCCCTTACTCGGACCGGTTACTACCGACCACACGCCGAGTCCAGAGATGGTAAGGAGAAATATGGCAGACTTTCGAGAATGCCCGGTTCTCCCCCATGAACCATGGAGTGACGCTCACCGGGGCGGATAATCAGTCATCATTGATCCCAAATAGTCAAGAGGCAAATCATGCACCGAGTGGCTGCTCATCATCAGACCTCCTTAGAGTCATCAGCGGCTTGGGGCTCTTGCTTCTCTTGCTTCTCTTGACCGGACAATCAACGTTCGGGGTTCATATTTATCTTCAGATGACTCCCCTCCCCCTCCTCTTTCCTTTCCCCGAGGAGTTCGATGCGATGAGTTTGGTTTAGGATTTGATTTCCTGCTTGCTTGTCTGCTTGCTTGTTTCTGTCCATTCCGTCGGTTTCAGGCCCCATTTCGAACTACCAAGGCCGCTATTGCTTTGGGTCCATGATTCTTGTTCTTCTGCGGCTGCTAACTTACTTTGATTTTACTATTGCTCCATTTACTTACTATCATAACCATTACCGCTACTACTACTATATTATCACGGCTCCTTCTTCCTCACCTTGCTATTCATCTATCCATTGGCAAGCACTGGCAAGCACTGGCGAGCACTGGCGGTAATACCTAAAAAGACCATAATGTTGCTGCCCTGCGAGTCGGTTTGTGGTTGACTTCACCAAGTGGCTCCAACCCAAGCCCCCGACTCTATTTCTTCATTTGTCCAACCCACCGCCATCTCCACTCCGCGCGAGCCCTTTCGCCTTACTTGGTTGTGATTTGTTCCTGAGTCCCCAAAAGGTGGCATTTTGCCTCCATCATTAACTTATCTTCTCCTGCTTAAGGCAACTCCGCACTAAGGTAGGTGCAAGATTTGTGTTTCATTGCCGTTCAACAGCCCCTGGACTATAAGCTCTGTTACAGGCCAACAAACCTACAACAGCATATATACAACATTATTGCCCGCCTCATCAATGGCCTCAAGAATTCTCTTTTCCACCTTCTTTATCTTTCATGCATGATTGATTGTTTTCCTACTTGTAGCAAATTCCCGCCCGACCTTATTGTATACCCCAGCATCACCACCAGCATCACCACAAGTGTCTGCTTGCACTCGTCGTTGAGCGCGATATACTACCCTTCGACCATCGCCTGGCTGTTACTTCTTCTATCTTCAAGCGTGATTATTCACCTGGTTCGTGGTTACCCCCTCACCATTGGTTCGATTTCCCCGTAATCCAGCCCATGCCTTCAATGATCTTAACCTTCTTTCTATTGCTTTTTTTTGTCCGCAATTTTTGAAGTTCATCCCCCTTTGGTATCCTGCAAGTCCTTGATCCATTCAGCGGCTTCAGCGGCACCTTGAGTCTATGACTGGCAGTTGGTTCTTTTTTTGTTTTTCCCTCTTCTTCTTTTTTGGGACTGCATGAACGCCACCACCCTTTGCTTCCACACTTATCAACTTCCACATTTGCCAGATTCTTGAAGGGTGTGAACCATGAAAGATCTCTCTCTCTCTCTTTCTAACATTTGATGTGTTGGTATTTTTGACAGGGTTATATAAATCGATCAGACGAGCAACCGACTCACGATTCATCTACGTACCCATCAACTACTTACTACTACCTACCACCCACCACCTACCTTTACCTTACCTGATTCAATCCCACTCACTGCACCAACCGAACCCGCTATCCGCCGGTGTCCGCCCGCCATTTGTCCATCTGGACCTGATTGACGCTAAGGCTCCATTTGCAACCCACATTGACGACGGGCAGTAATTGTAAGTTCCAATGATTCATTTCATCCTCCTCGTGTCTTGTCTCTTGTCTTCGGGTTTCTTCAGCTCGCCCCCAAGCTGAGAGTGAGAACGAGAACCAGAAGAAAAAAAAAAAAGAAAAGGGACGAACTCATTGGGTTCCTTTCTGGGCGAAAAAAGAAAAAAAAGATCACTTCTTCGTTCTTTTCTCTCTCTCTCTCTCTCTCTCTCTCTCTCTCTCTCTCTCTCTCTCTTTCTCTTTTCTTGCCCTGTGGCAGCATTATTATTCGCCCCCCCTCTTCCCCTACCTACCAAGCTTAGCCTTCTACCCTACCCTACCCAGTTCCCTTTTACTCACCCCCCCCATTAACTACAATTCCACTTCGAATTCCCCCTAATCTGCGCCTGACTTCATCCGCCTCCGCCTCTTTCAACATTTTCTCTCGCTCGGATCCACTTCTGGCTCTTCTGCTTTTAACACCTTCCTACCACCCAACAGGTCATTTAATCCCGCCTTCTCTATCCTTCTACCCCTCCCCATTCTTCTCACATCGCCCTGTCATCCGAACCCGATCGGATCCAACATCCCGCAAATTCCCCTGGGTTATACTCCCCAACATCATCTCCCCGACAAACCTTGTCTAGCTAAGATCTCTTCTCCTACATCTTCCGGAAGAGAGATTTTTGTTGCTCGCTAGTCGGCCTCGACTCACCTCACGCTCCACTACGTCATCCTTCGCGTCGCAACGTCTAGAACGACGATCTTCAATTCCGGTGCGCTAGGCGGAGGACTTGGTTATCGGATGGGAACATAATCATGGCTGCTGCTCAGAGTGCAACCCAATCGCGCGGAGATGCGGAAATGTTGAAGCAGCCCATACCCCGGAGGTGAGTCTGCTACTATGGATACTTCATCCGCCACCAGATAGTTGCGATCTCGCGATGAGGATTACCAAGGTTCGGCCTTTACACTCCGAACCTGAATGCCCTCATGCTACTCATTTCTTACATGTCACTTATGTTCTGCGTAATATTGCATGCATCATGAGTCAACCACGATAGGCCAACGACGCAAAGTCTTGTATCCTCATCGTCTTGGCTCACATCTGCACCGCCCTGAAGTTCCCCCCCCCCCAAGCCATCTATTCGATCTCTTGTCACTCAGTCGTTGTGTTTTGAGGCGCTTTGCGGTTTTACTGCTTTCCGTGTCGCGGCCGATTCAACAAATCTTCATTTTCCTCTGCGGTGGCTAATTAGTTCTGTAGCAGCGGTGTGCAAGAGGAAGACAACCAAGATTCGATCAGTTCAAACAGTCCGACGCCAACCGGAATCTCGACTCCACAGCCCGATCTAGCAGATAAGCGTCTGCCCTCCCTAAGTTCCAGTTACTTCCAGGTTGGTTCTCCCTCAAATAATAACACTCGTCGCCCCAACACCCGGTGTTCTTCTTCTGAGACTCGTGCTTCCGCGTATTCTTTCCAGTCGGATATGTCCGCTGGAGGAGGTCGGGACTCTCAAACTTTTGGTCACAATTCCTCACCCTTGGACTCCTTTGTCTTGATGGAGCGCCCGGAGGTTACGGACACCAAGTTATCTGTCGCTTCGCCGGATCAGAATCTTGAGACGAATATGATAGTACCAGAGACATTACCCCCCACGAACCTACCTACACCCCCGTACCACTCCGCTTGTTCCCTTCTGCAGAAAGAGTCGGATGAGACTGGATCTGGTTCTTTTACCTCGGACAGAGGCATGAGCTCTATTTTCACTACGTTGAAGAATTATCTCTCGCCCGCCGGGAGCATGTCTTCTTCCGAACCTCCAGCCCGTCGTCATACCTCCCTGCCAGTTTCCAGCGTCTCTGACGACCCTGTCCTTGCCACACACTTCTCCAACCCTTCTCTTCCTCCTTACATGTCAGATACCCTATGTTTGGCGGATGCTCCCCTACTCGAACACGAAAAACCACTTGTCTCTATAACTTCTGAGAATCTGGCGAAGCTAACTGGAACCGTGTCGGATCTTGTGCGCTTTAAGAACACACCCCCACTTACTCCACGGGCCATGTCCAACGAAGGATCGCAACCGGACAAGAAGCCGGTCACATCGCCTCCTTCAGCATCAATTCCCGTACCAGCCCAGTCCGGCGACGAAACAAGCTCTACCGACGAGCTTGCCGGGAAGCTCAACGAGGCCTTCCCCCCCGAGAGAGATACTCCGTCGCCGTCTAATGGCCCGCCCGTGGCCCCACTGAAGGGCAAGTTGTTTGTCAAGATTTTCGAGGCCAGGGGATTGCGACCCGGATTCGATCCCTATGTGGTGTGCGTTTTTGAATGGAATGAAGCGATTTCGAAGAGTGCCAAAGAGGAAGAAGACGCCTCGCTGGAACGGCAGCAAAAGGAACAGGAAAGCTTGGAACCCGAAGCTGGACGGCCGATGGCGATCCCGATGAAAAGTCGACAGAGTAGCAACAACAGCGCGCTAGACGGTCCCGATTTGAGGGGTGGTCGGGCTCCTGTCACTGATCCTCATTGGAATCACGAAGCCACTTTGTAAGTCCATTCCGTGTTTTATGCCACATGGCGCTTGTATCCAAGTATCCGACCATCGCTAACTCTGAACAGCGACGTCTTCGGGGACGAGTCGGAAATTGATGTGTCCGTCTATGATCGGAGCAACCATGAAGATTTTCTTGGTCACGTGCGACTATGCATTAATCTGATGGAAGACAATAGCCGCCTGGAAGGGTGGTTTCCTTTGGCTTCCCGTGCGGCGGGTGACTCTCAGGTGTCCGGAGAGATTCACCTGGAAATGCATTTCGAGAAGACAGAGAGAAAGCAGGTGGGACCGAACGATTTCGAGATCTTGAAGCTTATTGGCAAGGGAACTTTTGGCCAGGTGTATCAAGTGAAGAAGAAGGACACACGGCGTATTTACGCTATGAAGGTTCTTTCGAAGAAGGTCATCATCCAGAAGAAGGAGGTTGCGCATACCTTGGGTGAGCGTAACATTCTGGTTCGAACAGCTATGGCCGCTTCTCCCTTCATCGTCGGGCTGAAGTTCTCCTTTCAAACACCCACCGACCTTTACTTGGTCACGGACTATATGTCCGGCGGCGAGCTATTCTGGCATCTCCAGAAAGAAGGACGATTCCAAGAGGCGCGTGCTAAGTTTTACATTGCCGAGTTGATCTTGGCCCTACAGCATCTTCACGACCACGATATCGTGTATCGTGATCTTAAGCCGGAGAACATCCTCCTCGACGCCAATGGTCATATCGCTCTTTGTGATTTCGGCCTTTCCAAGGCAAACCTCACCCAAAACGATACCACAAATACTTTCTGCGGAACGACCGAATATCTCGCCCCGGAGGTATTGCTTGATGAACAAGGTTATACCAAGATGGTCGATTTCTGGTCTCTTGGAGTCCTTGTTTTCGAAATGTGCTGCGGCTGGAGTCCTTTCTATGCCGAAGATACCCAGCAGATGTACAAGAACATCGCCTTTGGCAAGGTCCGTTTCCCTCGTGATGCTTTGAGCACAGAGGGAAGGAACTTTGTGAAGGGCTTGCTCAACCGGAACCCCAAGCACCGTCTTGGCGCCAAGGGCGACGCGAAGGAGCTCATGGCCCATCCTTTCTTTGACGATGTTGACTGGGAGGCACTGGGTCGCAAGGAGGTGATACCTCCTTTCAAGCCTGTCCTCAAGTCCGATACGGACACTTCCAATTTCGACCCCGAATTCACCAATGCCCTAGAGAACAACAGCTCTCTGAATGACCGCGCAGCCGCTCTTGCCAACGGGCTGATGCCTGCGGGGACACCGCTGTCTCCCGGTCTGCAGGCCAATTTCAAGGGCTTTACCTTTGTGAACGAAAGCTCGATCGACCACCACTTCAAGAACGACACTGGCGACCACATGGTTGAGGATACCGAGACGTGGCCTCGGGCCCAACAGGTGTCAAGCAACCACATGGATCACCGTATGAGTGGCGTTCAGAGAACTGGTGAAGGCGGCGAGCCCGGGATCTTCAACGTTGATGATAATTTCGACATGTGATAATGGCCTGATGCATGGAAATGGAGTTGTGATTTATATCTTCTTGTTTGTACATGCTTCTATGTGTGGAGATGGAATAGGCTTCAAAGCCTGGATTCCATTTGCCCATGCTTGCTCTCCCGGGATGTCTTTTTTTTATAGCTTCTCTTCTGTGAGTACTTCGGGGAACATCATGCTGTACACACCCAGCGGCTTTGCTTTTCCTGTTCTTATCCCTCTTGGCCTATTGTGTTAGCTCTTTTCTGATCTTTTCTATCATGTCAAATGGATAGATGGTTGGATGACTCTTTATGATTGATTGATTGAACTTTCATTTGTGAGTAGGACTTGCGGGTTTCAAGAACCACCGATGGTTCCTCATTCATCTGGGAACTGTCAGTTATTATGCCCAGCATATCTGTCCACTGCATTGCTGGATGATCTATGTCATGAATGTTTCTTTTCTGGATGCTCTCTTGTTATGGCTTCTGTGATAAGCTGTTCACAAGTCAAGTTCATTGCTTCGGTTTTCCTTGAATCCGGGAGTTGGTCGGACAGACTCGAAGAGATCATGCAGCGGCGTTTCACTGTCGGGCAGCATGGCGCAGGAAAGGTCGTGTGCTTGTCTTTTCTTTGTGCTTTTGAATTGGCTAGGCTAGAAGAGCTGGTTGTGTCTTGAGGCAATGCATGTGCATAAATAATACAATAAAATACCTGACTGTTGAGATCAATCTGACCTTTCTCAGGCCTACATCTAGTTTCCAATTACTGATACATCATCACCTTGTCCACGTGACAGAAACCTTGAGCCAACAGAATGGCTGGTGTTCCTGAATGACCGCAGCTCAAGCTCCCGCCCGAGTCCTTTCCTTCTCTCTCCTTTCCTTCCCCTCCCCGCCGCCCTGCGGAATGCTGCCCGTGTCCCCGGTGATCACAAACAACCTTGAAACCACAACCAACCAAGCCGAACTGAACGCTTATCATCAATCTATTCTCACCCTGGGCAAGATTTGGCAAGGCATCCTCGCCGTCTTGCTGCGCGGGGTCGGATTCTGCGTGCCTGATTGAGCTTAGTCCCGGATGACGACGGGGTGATCAGAAGCACTTTATGTTACCTTCCCGCCTGCAGCTGCGCCAATAGTTTCCCTTTCACCATCCATCCCTGCGAGAGGTTGCAAAAGGACCCTGCTGTGGCGTACATATTCAATATCCTCCCCAAATTGTCCGGTCATGCGCAATCACAGTCCCTGCCTCGGTCTGTTCTGAATGCAAGCAGCTGATAAGGACCCCTCTTCCCTGGTGAGGAGCTTTAAGCTTCCAGATGTGACGCTTGCTCGAATACACTCGATTCACCGACCACCATGGCGAATCTCAAGTTTGGCTTAGCCCTCGTGAGCAGCGTAGCGACAGCACTTGTCGTGCTGCAATTGTTCCTGCTGATTAGCAACTCCAACGTCAATCAGCCGGTCAGGGTGCAGTCGCGGCTGCAATGGAAACAGAGAGCGACATCGACATCTGCGGCAACTTCTGCGTCTTCCGCGGCGGAGAATGGGACCTTCTTACTTGGTGCAGGAAAGGCGGATATCACGGGGTAAATCGATGCAGTCCACATTCCCATCACGCAGAACGACTGACTGAGTCAATGTAGGCCCGTGGCGGAAGTCATCTTCAACGGCTATGCGAGCTTGGATCAGGTTGGCTCTGGCCTGCGACAAAGGATCTACTCCCGCGCTTTCATTGTGGCGAACCCACAGAACACAAGCGATACCTTCATCTATCTCGTACTGGATGCTTTGACGGGCGACACTGCTGTGCGGTATGGTGTACTTGAAGGCCTCGCTGCTTTAGGTGGCGAGTATACCAGATATGGAGAGCAGAACCTAGCTCTCACCGGGACTCATTCCCACTCAGGCCCAGGCGCATGGATGAACTACCTCCTTCCCCAAATCCCAACCAAGGGCTTCGATAAGCAGAGCTATCAAGCTGTCGTGGATGGTGTTCTACTCTCTATTCAGCGGGCCCATGAAAGCCTAGAGCCCGGGTCTCTCAACTTCGGTTCTATTGATCTTGAAGACGCCAACATCAACAGAAGCCCTTATGCCTACGATGCTAATCCTGCAGATGAAAAGGCGAAATATCCGGCAAATGTCGACAAGACGTTGACACTTCTGAGATTTGATAGAGCATCCGACAGCAAAACAACAGCGGTGTTGTCCTTCTTCCCCGTCCATGGAACGTCTATGTATGAAAACAATACATTGGTCACTGGGGATAACAAAGGCGTCGCTGCGTGGCTCTTCGAAAGGAGCGTCCAGGACGATGAGAACTTTGCGGATGGCTTTGTCGCAGGGTTTTCTCAATCTAATGTCGGCGATACCAGTCCAAATGTCCTCGGAGCCTGGTGTGAAGATGGTTCGGGAGAACAATGTAAGTACACGGACAGCACTTGTGGCGGGAAACCCGTAGACTGCCACGGCCGGGGACCCTACTTCACCGAGAAAGATAACGGCGCAAAAAGCTGTTTCGAGATCGGACGACGTCAGTATGAAGCCGCAAAGACATTGTACAGCCAGCTGGACACGAACCCGACCAAAATTCTGCCTAACGAGGTCCGCTCGTTCCATGTCTACCGCGACATGTCGAACTACACCTTTCAGTCACCTTTCAACTCGAGCACTTTGACTACGTGCTCGGCAGCGCTAGGTTTCTCATTTGCCGCCGGCACCACTGATGGGCCGGGATATTTTGACTTCACTCAGAATGGAACTGGGCCCGCAGAGTCCAATCCTTTGTGGTACGTCGCCCGCGCATTCGTCCACCAGCCGTCGGCGGCGCAGCAGGCTTGTCAGGCGCCTAAAGAAATTCTGCTTGACGTTGGTGCTGTCACGCAGCCGTATGCTTGGACGCCCAACATCGTGGACATCCAAGTCCTGCGTGTAGGGCAGTTGTTCCTCGTCATTTCTACCAGTGAGGCGACTACAATGTCTGGCAGGCGCTGGAAGGAAGCTATCGCGACATCTGCGAAGGACGTGCTTTCTATCGAGAATCCTCTTGTTGTTTTGGGGGCTCCGTCGAATAGCTATGCGCACTACGTAGCTACAGAGGAGGAATATGGAGTTCAACGTTACGAGGGGGCTTCTACTCTCTACGGCCCGAACACGCTGGCTGCATATGTGAACTTGACCCTGACATATCTACCATATCTTGGGGACTTGCCCAATACAGCCAGTCTCCCATCACTGTCCACTGGTCTGGAGCCTCCGATTAACACAGACAATTCATTAAGCTTTATCACGGGTGTGGTATATGATGGGTCCCCTGTGGGAAAAGCCTTCGGGGATGTTGTCTCGTCTCTTGAAAATGCCACCTACTACCCTGGGGACACGGTCAATGTGACATTCGTGGGCGCAAATCCGCGGAATAATCTGCGGCAGGAATCGACTTTTGCCGCTGTGGAGCGACTTGATCCGAGCACAGGCTCTTGGCTGGTGGTCCGCAAAGATTCAGACTGGAATCTTGTCTACAACTGGGTCAGGACAAGCACAGTGCTAGGCTATAGCCAAGTTACTCTTCAGTGGGAAATTGAAGACGACTACTACAACACTGGCAATCCCAATTCGCTGCAGGCTGGGACTTACCGATTCCACTACTATGGGGACTCGAAAGCGTTGACCGGCAAAATCACTGCCTTTGAGGGAATAAGTGACTCTTTTATTGTTGCACTGAATTGAGGACAATCGCCGCGTTCTGGATGTCGAGTTGTCGCCATGTCAAGTTGCGAATGCGGACAGAGGAGTCAAACAATATAATAGGCACTATACGAGTTACTGCACTAGTAGCCGAAGAAGACGATTTGTTCTGGAGCCATAGACCTGGGTTGTCTTGTCTATTTTTGTAGTGTCTCATCATAGTAAAACGTGAGGCTTTTCACGCAAGCCATGTTTTCCGTCAGTACTGAGGTCTGGTGGCTGTGCTCTTGATTCGCTCCGATCTTATTCAACGAAACAAAATGATCGACAAGATCCTGTCAAATGCGACGATGCTGGACTGCCAATCAAGCCCGGGGGATGGTGCAACACTGCATGATGCATGGATTCTTTTTTTTGTTGTCGCGCGGCAACTCGTCTTTCTTCAGCCAACCACTTCATCTCCACTCAGTGCTTGATTGTCTCATCTCCCGCTGGACAAAGACCTGAATAAAATGGCCGGGCTTAAGAGATGGCTGTCCTCCCCCTCCAAACACTGTTCTTTGCTTCTTTGAGCCTTTCTTGCCATTGTCTCTCATTAATCTTTCTTGCTTGTTCATCACCTTTCGTTCAAGCCAGAATGGGTAAATAGCTGTTCTGACCCGATCTGCAAGCCATGTTAATTTCAATTCGCACCCCGTCCCTTCGCTAAAGTTTCGTTCTCTTGCATATTCCATCGACATTTATTTCCGAGTCTATCGCTTCGCATTCTACAAGATGCACCTAATCCACGCTGCCATCGTTCTTTATGTCTTCGCCTATCCTTGCTCGGCCGGCCCGATCGCTCATTTACTTCACAAACCCAGGGACCTGGAGTCTTCTGGTGCATTGTCACACGCCTCGCATGAATCTCTTGCGGCTGCAATCTCACTTGAGTCTCGAGACCTCGACGAAGGAGATGAAGACCTCTTGACTATCGTCCCTGTGACGCCTACCAATTTACCACAGTCTACGTCTGCGACAGTCCAAGAAGCCTCCAGTTCCAGCGCGACAGTTGCCGGCGTTTCGACTGACGAGCCTTTACCCACGATTGCCTCGACTGTTCAGCAACCTACATCTGGCTCACCTGTAGCTAAATCAAGCACAACAGCTCAGGCGGACACGCCCGGTTCCAGCATCGCTGTTCCAGAAACCCCCGTGGCTTCCCAGACCCCAACCAGTCAGCAAATATCTTCTAGCACAGTTCTAGCTGAAGCAAATACAGGTACACAAGGAGAGCCCTCCACTCCTAGTGTGGCTTTGCAGCAGACTTTGCCCAGCATAAGCGCCGCTGTACAAAAATCTTCGTTCACGCCTACTCCTACTGCTGATGTTGTTCCAACCAACACAGGCGCGACAAGTCAAGGCGATCTGACAAGCTCTAGTAGCTTGGTTGCCCAGCAAACAAGTACGAGTGCTATAACTGTAGGAACCTCACCAAGCTTCAGTGCTAGTGCCATTGTTACTGCTAGCTCACATATAGCTTTTCAACAAGCCTTGTCAAGTACGAGCGCAGCTCTCTCAGAGTCGTCGCCAGGTTTCTCATCTAGTTCTTTTGCTAGTCTGATTGTGCCAACCGCGTCTGCCTCAAGTCAAGCCGTGCAAGACAGCTCAATCCCAAGCGCAACAGACGGACAAAAGGGGAGTTCAAGCGTGGAATCCTTTTCCGGAACAGCTAGCACAGGACTGCCAATGCAGGAAACTTTCAGCTCAAGCATGGTGACTCCGCAAACCGCCGTCGCCTCAAACTCGCTTTTCCAGTCTCCCACATTGGCTTTTACTGTCATTGGGTCCTCCGTGCCCGCAACCACCCAATTGTCCTTTACACCTGCGTTTTCGCCTGCGGTTACACCTACGTCAACTTCTGTCGCTAGAAGCTCTGCGGAGGGCTCGGCCTCAATCGTAGCAGAGACCACAAGTTCCTCTGGCCTGTCGATCGGTGTCATCGAAACCTTGCCTGGATTCAGCACATCCACCTCTACATCTCAGGCTACCCCTGACTCAGAATCCTCAACTGAGACATCAGGCTCTTCAAGCAAGAGCAGTGCTGCCCAAACAGCAACCTCAATTACTGCCCCTACAGAAGCACAAAAAACCGGACAAACGAGCACTACCAGCGGTGTCTCAGAGATCACGCAGGTTTCTCAAACACAAATTCAAGTCAACTCGTCTCCTTTCATTGGCGTGATCCCCGCCACAGGGACCGTAACTGAGACCGAGCCCGAGGAAACGCAGGTAGTCGTCATTCTGGTCACTCCTTACCCGTCAACCACGCTGTACGAGACTTCATATCTCGCGTCGGAGTCAGCCACTATCTCTGAGTCCGACGTAGATGCTGTGACGCCTACCAATACAGGGCTCACGGGTTCTACTCCATTCCCTGAGCCCAACGAGCTCTCGACGCCTTCATCTACAACTCCCACTGTCCAGACGACAAGTTTAGTTCCTACCACCACTCCGGAACCAACCTCCGACCTCACAACTACAGTACTTCAAACTTCCACAGCTGTAGAAACTGCTAGCGCGACCTCCGACGAGACCCCTGATATCACAACAACCATTCATCAAACCATAACAGCCTTCGCGACTATCACCGCCGTCCCCAACACAACAACTGAAGAGACCCACGATGTCACGACCATTCAGCAAACCTCCACAGCTATCGAGACGGTCATCGTCGCCATTCCCACCACCGCCTCAGAAGCAGAATTGTCTCAGAGTACAGCAGAGGCAGCAATGATCACCTCAATTCCACAAGGAGACGATCCCGCACAAGGCGGTGCCTCTATCACCATCGCCAACGCAGAGTCTACCAACTCCGTCCCAGCCACCTCCCCAGGGGATAATATTATTAAAATCGTCCCGGTTACCCCGTCTGGCTTCTTTACTGTTACTGAAACTGCAACGGTGACCACCACCGAAAAGGAGACGGTGACGGTGACTGAGCGGGTCAAAGAAACAGTGACTACGACTGTTGAAGTTGGAGGATTTTAGTTTTGTCCTTTTTGGAAAATGGGTGGATAGTTTCGTTGCAGATTGTCGAATCATAACTTCTGAATATAGAGCGAGCCCCAATGTCCCTTGTCTTCATTTGTCTCTGTCTTTTCCTTCATGTCCAGCTAACAGGAAATCTCTTATTCCCACACATGCTAATGGTAATAAATGGCTAGTATCGGTAATTTCGATTAATGGGAAGCTATGGAGTCTCAACTTACACAGACCACGCAAGGAATTGAGTGTATCTTCGTTCAGATTGAGAAAGAGCTATACAACAAAGCTGCATGAATCCACAGTAGGTGGACTGAAATATTTCTGATTAGAGAAAGCGGTGAAAGTATCTCCGTATCGATAGCCTACAATCTACGGAGTACTTCCTTATCGATAAGGCAGACCTGCTTGGCGCGTGATATGATGATGCCGCAGCGGCAATACTTGGTCTGTTGACAGTCGCCTAACTACTTCCTCCATCTTCCTTCACCCTCGATCCATTGCTCTTTCCCACTTCGCACGTGTCTACCTGTCGCGGATCTGTCTCGTGCTTACAGCAATTGGGAATGTCTGACAGAGCATGGGATCACAGTAGAGCAGCGTGGCTGTATCCTCTGCGTGTATGTCGGGCTATTTTGCCTCCCTTTCCTGCTGCCTATTCCGCAATCACATCGCTCTCTCCAGCACAGTGGACTTACATAGACTATTTCTCAGGGAATCTATTTCACCTTCTCCCACCGATACCTTTGGCCGTTGTTCAGGGCTCGGTTGATACCAATTGTTCTGCTCTCGGCCTTCATCTACGTCCTGCTATTCCTGTTTGCGTACCTGCCGCAAGTGGCCTTCCTCGCTATCTTCCAGGGAGCTGGCGCATGGGTTAGTGGCGCGGTCCTCGTTCTCGGAGAAGGGGCCGCGATCGTGGCGATTCTGTTCGAAGCCTTCTTCGTTGATGAAACGCTGGTGGACATCTTCGACGCGGTGCTGGTGAGCGAAGGCCACGGCGACCTCGTGAATGCCTCGCGGGTCCTATACCCGCAGGGCGACGATGTCGTCCAGCGACTCGGCAAGCCCACCCAGAGCGCCGTCTATGCGCCGTTCTCCCTGCGACAGATTCTGGAATTCGTCGTGCTGCTCCCGCTGAACCTTATTCCCTTCCCAGGCGGCACCCTCATGTTCCTCGTGTTGACGGGCTACCGGGCGGGGCCCTTCCATCACTGGCGCTATTTCCAGCTGCTGGATCTCTCGAAGCAGCAGCGGAAAGAGAGGATCCGTCGCCGGCAGTTGCAGTATACTACGTAAGTACAGGACCTTGACTCTTACCACCAAGCAACCCTGGATCCCTCGGGCGGACGGTGCACTCCGCCCTCTCGGAGGAAGGATCCACCGACTCGGATACTTAATTAACCGCAACCCTAGATTTGGGACGGTCGCCCTGGTGCTTCAGCTAGTTCCAATCTTGTCCATGTTCTTCCTCATGTCGACCGCGGTTGGGTCGGCACTTTGGGCAGTGGAGCTGGAAAATCGACGCGATCCTTTGGGCAGGAGGCCTGGGCGAGATGGTGTTTACCGCGACGACGATCCTTTGATATGATGTGGGCGAGCGGTTCGATGCATGTTTTTTTTGTCTTTCTTTTTTTTTTCAGTCTTTTTGTCTGATGTATGATTGATTGATTAGGTATGACTTTTAATATATGAAACTTTTTTGTGAGGCGTTTCTTTTACTCTAATTAATCATCACGCCCAATTGATGTGCATCTTGGCATTAGTCCCGGTATTAGCCTTTGTATTTTCGGTTTCGTTTTTGATTTTTCCCTTTTGTTTATGTCAAGGGTATTTTGGGAGATTTATGTTGTTTCTTCTCTGTTTTTCTTTTTCTTTTTGTGTTATTTATTTTCTCGTGTAAGGAAGAGGGTCTTTAATACACCAAACCAACTTCTCATACTGCCTCGGCTCGGAAAAGCCGAGGGAGAGAATGTCTAGTCTCACCGGGGAGGAGGGCGCTCATTCCTCCCAAAAGCTTACAAACTCACCCTCCATCTGGACGCACCGTTGCCTGCAGTTTCAGCGGGATTAAGCAGCAAGGTTGATGACCTTAACTTCTTTTAGGGGCCGGTTAGCGTGCGGGTGCAGAAGACCAAAAGGGAATCTCCCCCTGACGGCAAACTCTACCGGGGCGCCGGCGGCCGACTGTCCACCGATCATGGATCCCTCATGGATCCTGGATGGATCATGGATCACTTTATTCACTGGGCTTTGCCGTATCGACTCACCCGCTATTCCGATCTCCCTCTTTGGTTCAGCCAGTGGACTGCCAGCCCTGCCATACAGAGGCACGAACCGCAATCTATTTTTCGAAGACAGTACTCCGTACACAGGGCAATCTACATATGAGTAGTATGAAATGAGGATGAATGAGTATTGCCTGTTGAGTAGCACTCTTTTCATTACGCAGTTGGTCGCTCCCTGCTCCCTGCTCCCTGCTCCCTGCTCCCTGCTCCTCCATCATAGGTCGATAAACTGTGACGTATACGTACCAAGCATTCCTCATCTTCGATTTTTCCTCTTCCACGTGGAAAACTCACAACCACGTTTCAAAAAAAAAAAAAAACATGGTGCTTCCTTGTCCTCGGTCGTTTCACCATCTCATCCCCCAAAGTTCCCAAGAACGAGAATCAGAAACACTGGTCTATAACAGGGGTCAGCTTCTAGAACCAACCAAAACGGTCATCCACCTAGTACTGAGTACTGTGTGACTGTACAGAGTACCCTCCGGTATATCCCGGCGGTAAATCCCGGGTGATCGATGTGGTTTACCATTGGGCTACCATTGGACCTGCACTTTTCGATCGACGGCGGAGTCGACCCAAGTTAAAGTACATTCCAGCCAGTCCGCCTAAGCTTGTCGTTCCAAAAGGCCCCAAAATTCCACCTCCACCTGGGCGGGGAATCTTTGGGTCCGTGGTTAATCCTCTTCCCATGCGTCCGCGTCCTATCAATTTCATTCATTTCATGAGGTCACTCCGGGGTCACTTTCTTCACTTTCCTTCCCTCCCGTGGCTCACTGGCCTCCCTTCAACTCCCAGGGAACCTTCACTCAACGGCTTTGTGATCCTTCTAGACGTGTTGTCAGCCTAGACTATTTCCCAATTTTCGATGGAGACTATACCCATTCCTTTAATGATCTAACCTCTATATGGTGATCAACTCTTCATTTTACCTCATCGGAACGGGGGACCGTTATACTACGGAGTCTAACCCACTGCTCAATCTTCCTTCTCCCCCCCCCTCTCTCCCTCCCCACCTCTCCGGTCACTCCTGCTGCCACTGCCAGGTGCAAGAACAATATTATTAAACTAACGGGTCATCGAGGTCAACCTAGTGTCCAAAACCCGCTGCCCACTAATACTATTTGCATATAGCCTAAGAGCCTACCCTTTCCGACTAAACCGTGATTCGTGTTGTGCCCTTCTCCGGATCTTCTTCATTAACTAGCTACGTACTACTACTACTCATCTCATCTCATCTCATCTCGCATCCGCTCCATCCCGCCCCGTGCCCGACAGCGCCGCTGCAGCATCCGGCCAAGCCACATTTTGCTGGGTCCGTAGTATGCGAGCGCCGCCTGGTCACTGTCGGGAGAAAAGCGACCAGCGTGCAGTTTTCCAGGGTCCACGCCCACAAAGCATGGAAAGGCTCAACAAGCTCGATTTGCATTCATGGACCAACGAACCCGCCTGCGGAAGGCGTGCGATGCCTGCAGCATTCGGAAAGTAAAGGTACATCCATACACCTACTGGTCCGATGTTCGATTTTGTATTTGGCAAGAGGTCGATTATGCTGATTTGCGTTGGGATTGACCACAGTGTGACACCAGCGGACCACCCTGTCGGTCATGCGCAAGCTTGGACATCCCCTGCACGTATGAGCGGCCAAGCCGTCGTCGGGGACCGCCAAACCGGCATGCTGAAGCTTTCAAGAAGCGAAAACTCGCTGAATCTCCCTCGGGTTCTCCAAGCCCATCGGATGCAACCTCGCCTATTCCCCCAACCCCTGGGGGAGGCGGCATCCCACCCTCACTTCCCTATCCCGCATCACTGGAAGCCATTTGTTCGATGCCCACCATTCGGCTGCTGATTGATGACTATTTCACCTATATTCACCCCTTAGTTCCGATCCCTCATGAGCCCACGTTCCGCGCCGCGCTGGAGCGGCGAGAGGATCTTACCAATCGCACCTTTCTGGCCCTCGCGGCCGCCATGATCGGGACGTCGGTCGCGTCTTTCCCTCGGAGGCCGAAGCGTCATCTGACGACAGATGCCGAGAAGGCGGCGTTCCCGCACTCTATGGCACTGGTCAAACGGTGCCACGAGGTAGCCGTTCAGGCCCGAGGTACCGGATACCTCGATCGGACCGCGACCGTGTATGATGCCGCCCTCAGCTACCTTCTCGGCCTCTGCTCCTGCTACGCTTGGCATATTCGACGATGCCGTGTATATTTTGCCGAATGCCTCACCATGCTCCATGTGTATGACCTTTACCGCCACTCGAATCGGCTATCCTATGTCACCATCTCCAGTCCCCGGTCTGCCTCGTCGCGTCTCTCTCAGGAACCCAACGGTAGCTCCGCAGATGCCCAAGTCAACATTATCGAGCGGGAACTGGGACGGCGGTTGTTTTACGTCGTCCTTGTCGGTTATCGCACGATGCAGCAGTTGGGCGGTGGCGACACCATCATTCATGTCCCCCCTGAGACCCCGACAGAACGCTATCCTCCTCTCCCGCTTGAAGTCGACGACGAGTTTATCTATGCCACACACTTTGATCCCCAGCCGTCCAATCGCGTGTCGCGCTTGGTGGGGTTTATTGCCAACATCCGCGTGATGAGCTCCTACAATCAGCTCTCGGCTTGGGAGACAGCCTTTGGAAGCGGCCAGATTCTGGAATGGGAGCGGCAACGCTCTCTTCTGTGTCAGTGCCTGCAGAATGCCAAGATGGCCTTCAATGAGCTTCCACGGGAGCTGGTGATAGGGGGAATCCATAGCCCAGCATCCACCAGTGGACAAGATAGCCCTAGCCCACTGTCCAGCACGAATGACCCGCGATCTTATAAACGTCACATACAGTATGAGATCCAGAAGGCGAACATATATGCCAGTCAGCTTGCTGTACGGTCTTATCTGGTGGAGAAATACTGGTCCTTGTACGGCGCTGTGAAGATGCACCAAAAGCCGACCGAGCAGCATCCTTCTGGCAGTCCTTCGGTGGCTGTCAAGACTGAAGGGGGCCAACCGCATACCCAGGCGGCCATGGACGCGGATGCCCAGTCCGACTACATCGGAAGGACTATGGCTGAAGAAAGACGACTCGTGATTCGGGACTTGTTCGCATTACTGCAATCGGTCAACGAGGTTAATATGGAGCCTAACGGCGCGAGCTTTGTAAGTGTTCCCCCTCTTTCCTTTCCCGTCACAGCTCAAACAAATACTCATCGGCTATTGGAAACAGACGGCGAAAGTGCGCCAGGTTGCGTCAACCCTCCTGAATTTTTCGAATCCGAATGCCACCTCCACGATAAGCGGACCACAACCCCTCACCAGCGCCGAAGTCGAGTCATACCTCCGCGCCTTTATTGACACACTCATGCGCCTCGAAGGCTTCGGGTCGACCGATTCGGGCAAGGCTCGACAACAACCAGACGTGTCCGGACGGTCCATGAGTTATCTAAGCGACCACGACCGGGACGAAGAGGAGCTGCGGCAGTGGGCCGGCATCAAGGAATATCAGGCCAGGTTCGCCGAAGAAGGGGGGATGGCTTTTCAACTATAGAGTTTTCTTGCGTTGTTTGTCCTTGACTAGCACTGTTTGGTGATTGATTGAGATGTTTTTCGTTTTTAGCATGTTGTGTCCAGCGGAGTTCGGTGGAGTTTTGCTTGAACTGATTTCTAGGGGGTTGATCGGGTTGTATGTCTGTCTGTCTGAATTAGCGGCCTGCTTGTTGACATGTTTACTTGTGCATATGCATGGGGTGTTTGTAATAGTATGGACCAATTATTGGGTGGTGTGGCTGTGTGCTCCCATTCTTTGTTGTTTGGCTGGGTTTGGGACAGTTGTGTTTACGTTTGGATGCATATACAAGTACAGATACACCGTGGCTCATACTCTATAACTTAAGAGAAAGTATCGACCGTCAAAACTGCCCGTGTTTCTTCATAATCTCGCTAAGTACGTATTCATTGCCTCAGGCGCAGGAAAATTACCCGAGCGTTGGCAATTGGAAACCTAGCTTAGCTTATCGATAAGCAAAAGGCGGTCAACGGCCGCCTATAAGAACGAAAAATTCTCCCCCCTCCGACCTCTTTCTTTTCTTCTTCATACATATACTGATCACTCCTCCCTATTCACTTCGAGAATCCTTTCCTCCGTGGGTTCTTGAAGGGGAAATGGGAGGTCAGAGCAACCTCTGCTGACTTACCCCGGACTCTTCTCTCTACCTTTGGCGTGGAGCGTTTGGAAATTACTACAGCGGGACATTCACCTCACCTTTTTTTTCCATTGCCTTTTTTGCCTTTTGGTTTTGGCTTGGGCTTGACACAGAAGGAAGAAGGGGACTAAATAAAAAACATCGTGCATTTTATTGGTAGCCTTTAATTATGTCGATGCACTCGGCCAGCCGACGTATTGTCGCCGTAGGCTTGACCTCAGGCAGTGCTCGGTCGGACCACCCCGCCTGGTTCTGGTCGCGATCGACCCAGATCGTGTTCAGGCCTGCACTGCTCGCGCCGGCGATATCGAATGGATTCGCACTGATGAGCCAGATTATCGCTGTGCTGCTGCTGCTGCTGCTGCTGCCGCCGCCGCCGCCGCCGCCCGTGCCGGCTACTTGCTCCCGCAGGTGACTGTAGGCCGCCGGGGCGGGCTTATATTGTTGTAGGGGATGCACACTGATGATCTCCATGTTCTGTAGTTGCAGCTGCTGCTGCAGCTGCGGCGGTGCGTGGCTGAGACAGGCGCGGACCATGTCCACGGTCCCGTTGGAGAACACCACCGGCCTGATCCGCGCGGTGGCGCTTATCTTCCGGAGGGCTTCTTCGACGTCCGGAAAGGGTTGGAGGCGATCGTAGGCCGCGAGAACCCCGTCGATGGCCGGCTCATCCAGGGAGGATCCGGTGTCGTCGAGCGCGTGCAACAGAGCGTTGCGGGTGACTTCGTCGAAGGGGAGATAGCGTCCTGCAGTCGTGGGTGGATTCTTAGATCGGTTTGCTTCGGACAGTATTATTCCTAGTAGTGCATGGGGCAGGGATCAATGATGAATGGAGGTCTCGTACCCATGCTGTTCAGCCGCCAGGTGTACTCCAGCTGGTAGCGTCGCCATGTCTGGGCCACGGTGCGCGCGCGCTGGGCGTCTCCCCGGAAGTGCTGCTCCAGCTCGTGCGTGGCCGTTTCAAGGGAGAGCAGGGTCCCGTAGATGTCGAAGGCGATCACCACTTCTGCCATGGTGGGTTGCTGATGAGGATTGCAAGAATGCAGGAGGGATTTCATTCAGTTCAGAGTTCAGGAATGTTGGAGTAGTAGAAGTATGAGAACAAGCAGCCTCCCGCCGCGGATACCAAACCCCACAATTTGATGATGTCAAACCATCTTCATCGCATTTCCGCCGTCGCCGCCACCTCTTCTTTTTTTGTTCTGTACAGTACAACCTTGGCTTCTACTTCTAGTTTCCAGCATCGATGACCTCATTCCTCAGCACAGAAAACTACCAGGTCTTCCGCGAGTGCCTGTCCACGGCTATCGTGGAGAGATTCTCCGCCCCCGCGCAGCCCAAGAAAGCTCGGCGCACTCGCGGCGCCGTGTCGCAGCGCCAGAAGACGCGCAAGGAGACTGCGGGGACTTCCGCTGCTGCTGCTGACGCCTCGCAATGTCTCCCTGACCGTGCGAGCCCGGAGGAATTGGCCGAGTTTATTGATGTACGTGGACTTGTGGATTGGTGTTTGCTTTCCAGTAGCACGCTCTGTTGCATGTTGCATACCCAGACTCACTCCACACCCCGCGGGCACTCCATGCATGCCTTCACATCCATGGAACAAGAATACCAATGACCCATCAGAAGCCCGCGGAGCATCACAATCACAATCACAATCACAATTGAACCTAACAGAGGAGAAACAGTTCCTCGCAACCGAAACCTTCCCCGCCCTGCCCCCCTCCATCCAGACCCTAACCTACACTCCTCCACCACCACCACCGCCAACAACAACATCATCATCATCATCATCAACGACAACAACAACAATAACAACTTCCTCAGAAACCGACCCCCAAACCCTCGCCTCAACCCTCTGCACCACCACCCTCCCCGCCACCGTCCACGACACCCTAACCACCTACGCCATCCTCGCCGACCAACCCGAAGAAAACGAAGAAGCCCTAACCACCTTCTTCACCCCGATCCTAACCGAGTACCTCGCCGCCGTGACGCGCCCGCCCCCGGTCTGGGCGACGACCCGCACCGACAGCTGCGAGATTTGCGGCCGCGACTGGATCCCGCTCAGCTACCACCATCTCATCCCGCGCAGCGTGCACGCCAAGGTGACCAAGAAGGGGTGGCACCTTGAGTGGATGCTCAACAGTGTCGCGTGGCTGTGTCGCGCGTGCCACAGCTTTGTGCACCGGATGGCGAGCAACGAGGAGCTGGCCAGGGAGTGGTTTACTGTGGAGCGGATCTGCGAGCGTGAGGACGTGAGGGTTTGGGCGGGCTGGGTGGGGAGGGTGCGGTGGAAGAGTCGATAGTTCTTTTGCCCGGGTTATATGGGATTGGGGAAATGGGGAAAGTGCTGAAGTTGAGAGTTTGATATTTAGACCACACTCAGTATATATACACGTGTGGACACCACTGTGACTTGATCGTGAGGGTGAGTGAGGTATAGGTATGCAAAAGTTGTGTTGTCTATGTGGTATCCGGATATTTAGACTAATATACAAGAATCAACCGTGCCCCCTTGTTTTCGCATCAGACATGCTTTGCGGTAAACAATCCCCCAATACAATCGAATCCGTGATAGTACAGAATAGGCAGATCTAAAATACAGCCCCCCCCCCCCCAACCGAGCACTACAGATAGCGCTTCTCGAAGATCTCCTCGTAGCACTGCACATGGTCCCCGACCTGGAAGTCGAACCAGCCCTCGAAGGCCATGCCGCACTCCGTGTCCTTGCGCATCTCGGTGACGTCCTTCTTGACGTTCTTGAGCGAGGCGATCGTGCCCGTGTAGATCGTCTCCTGGCCGCGCAGCACGCGCACCTTCTTGGTGCGGTTGATGAGCCCGTTGCGCACGCGGCAGCCGGCGATCTGCATGCGCTCGCGCCCCTTGAGCTTGATCTCGAAGATCTCGCCGATCTCGGCCTCGCCCGTGACGCGCAGGGTGACCAGCGGCGGCAGGTGCTCGCTCAGCGTCGCCTTGACGTCGTCGATGAGCCGGTAGATGACGTTGTGGTCCTTGATGGTTACCCCGCGCGACTCGGCCATCTGCGTGATCCGCGGGTCGATGGCCATGTTGAACGAGATGACGTGACCGCCCGCCGACGCCGCGTGCTCGATGTCGAACTCGCTCACGGGGCCTACCTCCGCCCGCAGCACGTTCGCGTACACCTCGTTGTTGCCCACCGCCGTCACCGAGTTCAGCACCGCCTCCGCCGACCCGTGCACGTCCGCCTTGATGATGAAGTGAATCGGCTTGGGGCCCGATTGGGCCTCCTTTTGGTCCAGTCCGGCTTCCTCGAGGCGTCGCCGCTCCATCAGCTCGCGGCGGGCCTCGTTCATCGCCGTCGTGTCCTCCCCCAGCTTCGAGGTTTCGGACCGCTCGATTCGGTATTCGACGACGGATTTGGCCTTTTGCTCATTCTCCGCCTGCAGGAACTCCGTGCCGGCGGTTGGCTGCTCGCGCCACCCGTCTACCTCGACCGGCATGCCGGGGGTGGCTTCTTTGATGGCGACCCCGGATTCGTTGCGCAGGGTGCGCACCCGCGCCCAGGTTTCGCCGGCCACGATGATGTCGCCGACGCGCAGGGTGCCGCGGCGGATGAGCACGGTGGCCACGCGCCCGTAGCTCTTGGTCGTGCCTTCCACCACCCATCCTTCGACGTTGCCGGTGGGGTCGGCGCGGTGGTCGAGCACCTCGGAAAGAGTGATGATCGCTTCTTCGAGCTCCAGCATGCCGGCACCGGTTTTGCCGCTCACGCCAATCGCCTGCACGTCACCGCCGAAGTCCTCGACGTGGACGCCGTGCACGGAGAGATCTTGCTTGACCCGGTCGGGGTTGACGCCCTCCTTGTCCATCTTGCTCATGGCCACGATGATCGGCACGTTGGCCGCCGTGGCGTGCTTGATGGCTTCGATGGTCTGCGGCTTGACACTGTCGTCCGCGGCCACGACCAGCACGACGATATCGGTGATGTCGGCACCGCGGCGACGCATGTCCAGGAACGCCGCGTGACCCGGGGTGTCGAGGAAGGTAATCGTCTTGCCCGAGGGCATGGACACGGAGAAGGCGCCAATGTGCTGGGTGATGCCTCCGTGTTCCGAGTCCACAATCGAGGACTTGCGAAGCCAGTCCAGGATCGTGGTCTTGCCGTGATCGACGTGGCCCATGATCGTCACCACCGGCGGCCGGGGTGGCAGGCTCGATTTATCTTCGGGCTCCGGCGCGGCGGTCAGCTCGTCCTCACCGGTGTCAAAGATGGGCTCGAAGTTGTACTCGGCGGCGATGAGCCCGGCGGTTTCGGCATCCAGAATGTGGCTGTGCGTGACGTCCTCGAAGCCCATCTCTTCCATTCGCTGGATGAATTGCGCCTGTCGCACACCGATGATGTCCGCGAGATTGCTGACGCTGATGAACTCGGGCAGATATAGAGGACTGGGCTCAGCGACTTCCGCCTCGATTTCTTCTTTCCGTTCCTCCCTCTTCTTGCGCTTCTTGTCCTTCTTTTGTTGACGACGTCGCTGGTAGTCTTCCGTATCAAATTCATCCTCATCCGCGAACGTGAGGGGTTTCGCGCGACCCCCTCGTCGCTTGAACCCCCTGTCAGATGAGCCTCCCACTTCCTGCCCCGCATTGAGCTTCTCCAATGCGGAGGTATCCCATGACCAGTCGTTGACGGACTTTTGTGGTTTGTCTTGCGTCTGCTTTTCCAACTCCTCTTGCTGCTGTCTTTGCTTTTCTTCATATCTTGTGGCATACTCGTCCAAAGCCTGGTCTCTCTCATCCCACGATGGTGTACTGCTGCTGTCCAATTTTCGAAACGTCAAGGGCTTGTTCGACTGTTCCGACATTAGCTCAGGCCTGGGGGCCCGGCAGCAAGGGCAAGCCCTCTCCGTCCCGGGGCAGAGATAATGGCAGTCTGGGCAGGTCCAATCCACCGTCTGAAGGTGCTCGGGAATGTGATCGTAGCGACTGCGCCTTGGCCCATCAGGCCGAAAACGTCTAAAATCTTGCGACACTATGTCTTCGGAGGACCGCCAATTGTTGTCATACCGATCGTTCGTTCGCCGGGAGTCGAAGCGATCTCTGTGCGACCTGAAGCCACCCTGCTCGATGGAGCGCTCTTGGTGTGACCACGATCCTTGGTGTTGCCACCTTGAATGTGACCTATCACCGTGCAAATGTGTATGTTGACTCTGTTGCTGTTCGAGCAGGGACTCTCGCATTGCCTTCTCTGCCGCGCTCAGGCCAGTGGATGTCGTGGCCCTACTTCCCCAACGAGGAGCTGCAAATTTGCGACCGGTTCCAAACTTGTTCGAAGTTTGTGAGGAGGGAAGATCCACCGGACTCTCCTGCGCCTGTTGTTCGGCTATCAGAGCATCTCGTGCTGCTTTCTCTTCCGCATTCAGGCCCATTGATTGGACTTTTCTATCTTTTGAACGGATAGTAAACCCCGTCTTAGCCAGAGAACCTTCTGCCGAGCCATTTGAAAATTCTGAGAGAGGAGTGTCGACGGGTTTATCGGAGGTCTCTGAGGTGGTTTCTGAAAGATTCTTCTGCGCCTGTTGCTTGGCTGCCAGAGCGTCTCGCGCTGCCTTCTCTTCCGGGGTCAGACTCGTTGCTCTATATCTCTTATCTCCTAGCCGAATAGTGAACCCGGCAGAACCCTGTTTGAGATTACCGGATGATTCTGACGGTGTGTTTGGGGAATTGGTTTCTGAGGAATCCTGCTGTGCTTGCTGTTTGGCTACCAAAGCATCTCGCATCGCCTGCTCAGCCGCACTCAGACCCGTGGGTCTGGACGCTTTGCTTCCCCAGCGGGAAGTGAATTTTGCGCCAGTGGGAGAGCTTGTTCCAGGGCTTTGCGAGGAGATTGAAGGGGTTGTACCAACAGGGTTGTTTGGATTTTCCAGGGAATTGATGCTTTGACTGGCCTGCTGCGCCTGTTGATTCGCCTGTTTTGCCGCCAGCAGAGCGTCTCGCTGTGCTTCCTCTTCCTCTTCCTTCGCCCTCTGTTGTGCTATTGAAGCATCTCGCCGGGCCCGATCTTCCTCTTCCTTTGCCTTCTGTCGTGCTATTAAAGCCTCTTTCTGTGCTTGCTCTTCCCATCTCTTCGCTTCTCGTGCCGCTATCAGGGCTTCTCGGCGTGCTTCTTCTTCCTGTTGCTTGGCCTTCTGTCTGGCTATGTTAGCATCTTGCCGGGCCTGGTCTTCTGCTTCCTTCGCCTTCTGCCTTGCTATTAAAGCATCCTTCCGCTCCTGCTTCGCTCTCTCCTCTGCTAGCAAGGCATCCTGACGTGCCTGCTCTTCCCGTGATTTCTTCTGCTGTTTCGCCACCATAGCATCTCGTATTGCCTGCTCGGCTGGGCTCAGGCCTACCGATCGCGTGGCCTTGCTTCCCCAACGGGGGGCAAATTTCCGGGGCTTTTCGGAGCCATTTGGAGTGTCTGAGGAATCAGCACATGCGGGAAAGGCTCGAAAGCCCCTCCGGGGCACAGGATTCAACACTGGGGCGAAAGCCGCATTTCTGCGGGCAGTTGCGCAGGACCAATCGACACCTTGACGGCGAGAAAGCTAGGAGCGATTTTGTACGTTAGTGTCTGAGGGGAGGTATCGGTAGATATATCCTAGATGATATGCTCACCTCCAACGCAGCTCGCCTGTGCATGATGAAGGTCGTTGCTCGCAGCGATTCCCGTGGCGTCAAAACTGCTGCGGCGGAGGGAAAGTTGTCGGAGACGTCACGGACATGGAAGTACTCAACCTCCGCCCGTTAACTTCCATCATGGATACAATCCGATCCAACCGCATTGAGTTTGGGCGTAAGATGACCGTAAGGTACTGTAAGTTAAGTTAAGTTAAGTTACAGTGAAGAGTGTGTGCAGCTGACTCAGCGTTATGCTTGTCCCGCTTCACGTGCGTCGTCGGCGCCTTTGCCGAATCGGAGGCCGCGATCGGGGAAATGGGGCTATCACCTCATCGCTCTCCGATAAGCTTCTCTTTCTCCCCTTCCTCCTCGCTGCTTCTTCTCAGGATCTTTCCTCTCCATACCGATCGCTGAGGGTTTCTGTGCTACTTGGACCGAGGAAAGGCCCTTTCTGGTACTCTCCAAACCCCAGTTCCTGTGAATCTCCTCTCCACTCCACCTAATTTCACTTCTCCGGGCGTGATCAAGTTCCCCGCAATGGAGTCCGAGGCTTTTGAGGATATGCAGAAAGGCGGCGGCAGTCTTCGCGCTGTCAAGGACTTGACGGCCGGTGCTGCTGGCGGCATCGCTCAGGTGCTCATTGGTAAGTGCTCAGCTATTTTGTCCCGTTATCTCTGCTAGCAATGCGTCATGTATCCCCCAATTGGAGCCATGGGCATCGACCTTCCAATCTCTCTCCGCATGCCGCAACGACATTATACCATCGCTACCAACTGATCGCGTCGCACATTGACTGAGTGCTAACGACTCTCTAGGTCAACCTTTTGGTGGGTAAACGAATGCTCTCAAGATTTGTCCGTTCGCAAGCTTCTCACCAATGGCCCCTCCCCCATAGATATCGTCAAGGTCCGCCTGCAGACAACCACGCAGTACGCCAGTGCGCTTGATTGCGCCACCAAGATCCTGAAGAATGAGGGACCCACGGCCTTCTACAAGGGTACCCTGACACCTCTGATCGGTATCGGAGCCTGCGTATGTCTTTTGTCTTTTCTCTCCCGGGGGCCCCCTTCTGCCCCGGGAAACCCGCCCTCCTACCTCAACATTTCCGTGTTAACCCCTCCATGTGCAGGTGAGCGTCCAATTCGGCGCGTTCCACGAAGCCCGGCGACGGCTGGAGGCGCTCAACAAGAAGAAATACGCGGACCCGACGCTCTCCTACACGCAGTACTACCTGGCGGGCGGGTTCGCGGGGATCACGAACTCGTTCCTGTCCGGGCCGATCGAGCACATCCGCATCCGGCTGCAGACGCAGCCGCACGGGGCCAACAAGCTGTACCAGGGGCCCATCGACTGCATCCGCAAGCTGTGCAGCCAGGGCGGCGTGCTGAAGGGCCTCTACCGCGGCCAGAACGTCACCTACCTCCGCGAGATCCAGGCCTACGGCACCTGGTTCCTGGCCTTCGAGTACCTGATGAACGCCGACGCAAAGCGCAACGGCGTCCGCCGCGAGGAGATCTCCAGCCTCAAGGTCGCCACCTACGGCGGCCTCGCCGGTGAGGTCCTCTGGCTGAGCAGCTACCCCTTCGACGTCGTCAAGAGCAAGATGCAGTGCGATGGGTTCGGGGCCAGCCAGCAGTTCAAGAGCATGACCGACTGCTTCAAGAAGACGTATGCCGCTGAGGGGCTGGCCGGGTTCTGGAAGGGGATCGGGCCCACCTTGCTGAGGGCCATGCCCGTCTCCGCGGGGACGTTTGCGGTGTATGTTTGGATTTCCTGCCTTACCTTACCCTACCCCCTTTTCGTCTGTGTCTTGGACGGTAGACCCAATGCTAATTTCTTGGTTGCACAGTGTCGAGCTCACGATGAGAGCCCTGGGATGAGGTATATAAATCGAAAAATAACCAATAAAAAAGTCCCAAAGAAATTCAACAGCTCAATTCGAAATACCCTGCCCCTGCATTTTTTTAGCATCTTCTCGTTGTCCGAACATCCAACCACTTCCAAAAGCAAAGGCAAAGGGAGGGAAAGTGGCATTGTTTTTTCTTATTAGACTGGATATTCGATGTCGCTGTTTAGCGGAAATCATGGATAGATTTTTACAGCAGGCAATTTCAGGTTCAACACAGCAGCTGGATTTTATTACTCATGAATACCAAATTGACTTGGCCTGTACACCAAGAACAAGCAAGTATCAAATCAGAATACACCCCCCACCCCTGACTCTTCCAACGCAACAGATGATACAACTCTCCGCGGACAATCGACTGGCGTAAATCAGCTTCCAAACCCCAACGAGGAGTCCCCAAAGAAATCCTGCCACGCCGTCGGGAAATAGAACAGGTTCAGCCCGGGGAAATCCCAGTCGCGTACAAACTGTTCTGGCACGAACGACTGCAGATCGACATGCGCGTCGAACAGGTCCCAGAAGGAAGTAGAGGTTTGTTCTGCTCCCGCTGCTGTCGTCGGCTCCTCTGCTGTTGCTGTCTCCACACCTGCAGTGGTAGTCGCACCGTCACCACTACCAGGCCTGCTGCTGCTGCTGCTGCCACTTGCCCCCCTCTCCCCCCGCTGCTGTCCCTGAAATATGCGGCTGTATTTCTCGATGCTCAAGCGGAGGATATGCATGTAGACATTCCCCAACCCTGTACCTGTTCCTGATGCCAGGCCCTGAACGGCGGGCGCTCTTGTTCCAGGATCGGTGATGTGTGAGGACGGTGACGTTGTCGCCGCTTCGGCACAATGACGACCTCTAGACGGTGCAATATCCAGATCGAGAGGAGCCGATATCTCCACGCCCTTAGCCGACCGGGTCAACTCCCACAGGAGCTTGTTTCCGAGCTGCAGCAGCTCCTCGTGTTCGTCCCGCTGTTCGGGGAGGAGGCGGGAGAGTTTCAGCAGCAGCAGGAAGCAGAAGGCGCATTTGGCCCAGACGAAATCCATGGCGTATTTGAGCTTGGCGAGGTAGAAGGCGGGCTCGAGGCTGATGAGGCGGAGATGTTGGCGGGCGGCGGATTTGGCGAGGCTCAGGATGTTAAGCTCTATGGGGGCGATTGCTCTGTTTCGTTGCAATGTAGAGGTTAGTGTTTGGGTATCTAATTTAATGGAGTTATGGAGGATGAGGTGGTATGGCTCGTTGTAGAGAGCTGTGTTGCAAGGATTGGAGATTGGTGCTGGACTTACGCTACGTTCTCCACGCCCATGGAGCGCAGCGCTTTGCAGTGGAGGATGAGTTCGGCCCAGCAGTGTTGGACACTCAGGGCGGCCAGTAGGAATGGTCGTTCTTCTTGGGCTGTCGGGGAGTTGGCTTTGAGGGTGACGTTCAGTATAAGTTACACGCTGTGGCCCTAGGGCTAGAAAGATCAAGGAGGGCTGCTCACCAATGATGCGCTGCCAGTCACTGAGCACGTTAGTTTGGGACTTATGGGCAGGACAGGGCAGGACAAGTAACTCACTCAAACCAGAGATCAAGGTCGACCTTGGCCTCGTGTACAAACTCAGCAATTGCTTCTCGAGTCAGACTGTCTCGGATGTCTAGTGTGTCGTTGATGTTGGCTATATCCATCGCTAATTAGTATGCTGCACCGCACCCTCTGGCTACAGCCCTAGACGCATACCTCGAATAACGTTCAACTTATATCGACGATCAGCTACCCGTTTCCCAACGCGACTGTCGGAAACTTACCTCGACCTGAGAGAAAAGACGCATATCTAATACTGTCGACGAAGGATGATGCAGCAGGATTCGGCATCTCCGAGCATTTCCCATCATTCGTATCCCAGGTGGCTTGCCGCCGTCGACGTGAAATCTGAGCACAATGGCCATTAATTTTACCCAGCATGAGCGACTTGAGAGGAGCTTTTACATGTGATCCAGAACCAGGAGCCCAAACCATGTCCTGGACTTCCGCATCAAACAGCGCACCTGTGCGTCCACGCTATCACCGGGAATTCTCAACGGGTCACTAGTCCTCTTCAACGTTAGTAGCTGGATCAGCTCTTCGAACGCTACGTCCAGACCAAGGTCCAACGCCATTCTGGTAGCAAAGGATAGCATCAGCGAGCGTTCGGCGGTGTAGCACGCGACGATGAGCAGCGCCTGCACCGACTCCAGGCAGTTCAGATTTTTGTTTTGGATCACAGTGCCAATCCATTTCTTGAGTTCCGCGTGCAGCAGATCGGGAACTTGTCCGGGACCTGCATACTACCACTCAGCATGCTATCATATCAGGGAAGCTGGGGTGAGGTATCGCAGACTACCCGTCGCAGCACTCATTTCAACACGGCTGCCAATCGTGCAAATCGCGTTCAGCAGTATACTGCTGCGAGAGCGTACCGAGGTGAAGGTGTCGACCTCCGGATCGAAAATCGGGATGTACCTATCCTGAAAAGCTCATCAGCATGTGATACTCGCTAGGTCCGTTCAGCGTCGAGCAGTACATACGCAGCCCTGGAAGAACCTAGTTCCCTCCCTGTCAGCATGTCTCATTGAGTCACATCTCTGAGATAAAAGCGCATACGTTCTGAAACAAGCGACAGCTTGATCAGCAGTCATCAAGCCCTGAGATACGAAGTCCGAGATGAGCTCTTCCTTAACCTCAAATCCAGAGCGCTTCCGTTTGACCGGACGAACTGTCTCCTCGTCCATCGCGGATCGAATCTGCGACGAGGAGGGCAATCCTCTTAGTGGACGCAACTCGGATTCCCTCTCGGAGTTGAGAGCAGAGGTCGCCACGGCGAAAAGCATGGGCATGCCTCCTGAATGAGAAGCCGCATGATTCGAAGTCAGGAAAGGTGCTTCGGCGGGGTATGCACGATGCTGATCCACGAATTGGTCCTGAGCGTGCTGCACTTGCCCGAGATCTTCTGGTGGCAATTGCTGCGTGGAGAGACGAAAAAGCTCGCCCATGGCCTCTATCTGTGCACGGAGACGTTGCACTTCAGATTCGACGTTCTCCAGTCTCCTTGCGTGGGTATTAGAAAACTGATATGGTGGTGCTGCGGGATGGAAGGGAAGATGTGGGATGAATGATTGGGCATACTCGGTGGTGGGATCTTTAGGAACTTCGTAGAAGATGCATTGTTTATATGATCGCTTGCACCTATTATTTGGTATGCGTCATTCGAGTATGCTCGTCTTGAGTTTGCGATGGGGAGAGCGCTGGATGGGATACCTCGAGCAGGGCCGTTTCCCATCACATCGCACCTGCCACGGGCTGTTAGTGATCAAGGATGGAAAAAGCTAAAGCAGGATCTACCTTCGACTGTCGACAAGCACTGCATGCTTTCTAAATTGCCGAGGGGGTGGTCAGTCCCTGTACGCAGTGTCTTCCGACAGCGACAAGCAGGAGAGGACGAGTAACTATACTGGAATTCGTTTCTTGCCGGTAGGAAGTTGTCTCACGCATGAGGAGTCATCTGATTCCATCTTCGCAAGCTGCCGGTCACTGTCTCCTCCCGCAGCAGTGTATAGTAGTGCCCGATTTTGAAATACTGCTTGTACATGGCAGACCAAAGAGTGGGTCGTGAGCAATGCCAAAGGCGGGGGCGACGCAAGCCATCAACAGTCGTCGGCTCGGCTAATGTGTATTGGCAGGCGGCTTGTTGTACATACCGAACCATCAACATCGCCCCCTTGCTCGCGCACCCAACTTCTTCTATTCGAAGGTATGCGTTCATTCAAGCTCCATCTACCGACTGAATTAATCTAGATTCGAATTACAAACTTACTCTACAGTACGATAAAAACATTGCACGCCTTCATTGAACTCTAGCCATACAACTTCCCACGCGTACTTCACTTCACCACACGTCGCTCGTCAAGCCTCCGAGTACAACTAGCGCTAATACACATACACAAAGTCCTCATTCAACCAGTCCGTTAGGTCTTTGAATGCGTTGTCCTCCGTTACAGCAGTTTGCACCGGTCCTTCTAGTTTGTCGCCCTCGGCCGCCCCAACAGCTTGCATCGAGTGATCGACGATTTTGGCGCTCTTGCCCATTGATACTCGCTGTCTCTCATGCTTCTTGTTGAGGAAGAAAAGATAGGCCATATTCGATCTAGGTCGGTGAGCAGAGGATCATAGCGGTTGAGACCGAAGACTTACATGCATAGCACAACCAAGACACAGAACATCGCAAGGCTGCAAACTATCATCAGTATTGTTGGTCCGTAAAGATGAGTACCGGGGATCAGTTTACTTAGACCGCAAGCCTCGTCGATACAAAGGCGCGTCTGTAGTGGTGTACAAGTTCGAGCCCAGGACCTGTTCTCCAAAATCAGCATAGAGGCCACGTAGTGGACTCAAGTGCAAAACCTACGTTACCGGCGCATTGGCCCACCAGGACAATTCCATTCACTATCTTCTTCTTCGTCTCACCGGCTGTATTTGCTGCTGACCAAGAATAGATCAGGGGGGCTGTATCTCTTGTCAGATTGCATCGTGCGCACAACAAGACGATTAACATACTGATCCCGGGGTAGACAGACACCTGAAAGCCAGTTAGTGTATGTTCTAGTCCAATGAAGCCGCTGCAACTCACAATGTAGTATCCTGCGAGCAACGCTCCATTGTGTTGGCCATCATGGGGAATGACCAGCAACATAACGCAGCCTGCAATAGCAGGCAAGCATAGCAGCGCAATCACGGGGCCTTTCATCATGAGAAAAGTCGCCAGCCAAGCTCCACCCATCGTTGCGACCAGTTGAACTGCACCGAATGGGATATTGAACAGAATCGTTTGGAACTGATTGAACCCGAAGGCCTCGATTATCAATGGACCAAATGTCGAGATACCGCCACTAGGAATCCTTTGGAAGGGTAAGATTGGTCATCCGAGCCTCAGGGAATGGGGGGGATTGTCTTACGAGATTGAAAAGGTGAACGCAAACCAAAAGTAAGACTTGAGGTCAAGACAAGCCTCCTTGACATGTTCCCACTTCCACACGTGGGTTTCAAGCCCTTGCTGGTTCATGCGGAGTCGTTCGATAGTCAGTAGTTTGTCCTCTTCCCCCAGAAACTTCGATTGGACGGGTGAGTCGGGCATCGCGTAGAATATGACCACGGAGAAGACGATTGTCAGGAGACCAAAGAACAAGAAGATGATCTGATAGGGTTCGAACACCGAAGAATTGATATGCCCAAGCCCATAAGTGATGAGGCTTCCGAACTGGCCGCAGCCCGTGTGTTAGACAAGGAAAGACGCGTTTTGGAAGTAAGTGCTAACCATGTAGACCACGCCATTCATGGCATACCATGAACCCAGTCGCACGGGCTGTTCGATACGCCGATACCACATCTGGGTGATAGCGATAAAAGCAGGAGCTATGTTGTGACTGGGTTAGTCCCAGTCTCGTTGAAAAAAAAAAAAAAAAAAAAAAAAAAAAAAAAAAAAAAACCTGCGCGAAGGAACAGTACTCACGAACGCCGGCTTCGAACAGTCCCAAGAACATCCGGCAGACCAACAGCCCAGCAAAGTTATTCGCCGGGGTCATGCACGTCAACGACACGCCCCAGAGAAAGGTGGTGACGGCCAAGAACTTACCCAGCGGCACCTTGACGAGGATATAGGCCACAAACGGCTGAGCGACAAGCTGCACCAGGTAGACCACCGCCCCCAGCCAGGAATACATCTGTCCATGCAGGTGGGCTTTCTCGACGAGACCGAAGACGGACGCATATGAAAGGGTGGACTTGTCAAGCTGCTGTAAGAAGTAGATGCCCAAGAGAATAGGCAGCAATCGCATATCAATCTTCCGAAGCACACGAGCATTGTTCTCGGGCGTCAGAACAGTGGATTGGCCTGCTTCTACCAACAGACCCAGGGCTTTGTCCACTTCTGGCTCCGTCGGACGATCCTCTGTCTGAAGGGGGGCGGCCTCAACAGACTCGATCTGTTCATCTTGTGCACGTTTTCCATGGTCGACCTCTCCGAGATGGGTCATCTTGTCTTCAGTAGTGAGTCTTGCTTGGTGAGGGTCTGTGGTTATACAGCCCTAGATAAGATCGAGACAATAAGTGCAGCCACACTCTAGACCGGACAAATTCTTGTATTGCAGACCGTCGAGCGAGCGGAATATCAGGGACGCAGACCAACAAAATACACTGCCCCAAGAGAGGGGTGTGGTCCCCTTTTTTACTCTCTCTCTCCCTCTCTCTCATGGTGTACGTGCAGCACGGGATGGACAGGGGCTCGACAACCCCCGTGGGGAGGAGTCCTCAACCCCAGCCCCGGACAAGCCATCCCCAGAACCGACGCGGGGACGAATCAAAACGTGTCTGGAGACTGCTTGACAGCATCGCAAATGCCGTGTTCACGTGAGAGCACTTCAACCCGGGCTAGCATGACGGTGGAGATGGTGGGGGCATGAGGGCTTTCGGACAAGAACCGACGTAAGCATCTGGTAGACGAGCCTGCAGTGATCGTGCCATGGCCCAACAGTGGCGCAAAGTGGGCAGATGCTTGACGCTGGAAAGTTCTCTAGCTTCGGGGATCGGTACGAAAGGCCGACGATTGTAGACGAGGGGACATGCCTTTGAGGAATAAATGAGGGGTGGATGTGGGGGAAAAGAATGTGGGGGTCGGAGATGACGGCCGAAATCCGTGCATACCTTGATAGTCTATACAACCCAATCTTTGCGTTTGCAGTATCATGCCCAGACCGGAAGAAGATCACTCAGTCACTCAAATAGAGCCCTCTGTGCACCATGCCGAGCCGAAAGAAATCAATCGATTACTTCCTATACTTCGCAACCGCGAAACACAAGCATCCAACTTCCCCCATATCACCACACCACCCGAGCTGAATGCGAAACAACCATGCCGCAGAAGGAATGCTGTCCCAAGCGCTACGAGGCCATCTCTGCAGATGCGCAGGAGTCGCCGGGCATATCTCTCCGTTCTACGTCCGAGAACCGTCAATTCGAGTTCTCCTTCGAGCCCGTCCGTGAAAACCTATTCCGAGTCACCTTCACGTCCCCAGACCACCCTCTACCTCCGTACCCCAGCGTCACCAGGCCGGCCACCAACCTCAAGGACACCCACATCTCGACGATGAGCGGTGCTCAGAGCAGAACGATCCAGGTCGGGGACGTCACGGCATCCGTCGAGTGGGCCAACTCGCCAGTGGTGTCACTGTCGTGGAAGGGGCAGCCGAGCCAGAACCAGCCACTGTACCGGGATCTGCCGTTGCGCTCGTACGTCGCAGACGGGGCAGGCATCGCACACTACACGGAGCACGACCGCGACGCTCTGCATGTGGGACTCGGGGAAAAGCGCGCCCCGCTGGACCTCAGCGGGCGCCATTTCATCCTGTCCGCCACCGACAGCTTCGGATACGACGTCTACCACACAGACCCGCTCTACAAGCACATTCCGCTGCTGATCAAGGCGACCCCGCAGGGCTGCGTAGCCATCTTCTCGACCACGCACGGCCGAGGCACCTGGTCCGTGGGCTCGGAGGTCGACGGCCTCTGGGGCCACTTCAAGGTCTACCGCCAGGATTACGGCGGGCTGGAGCAGTACCTCATCGTCGGGCGGACGTTGAAGGACGTGGTGCGATCGTACGCCGAGCTCGTCGGGTTCCCCCTCCTGGTGCCCCGCTGGGCCTATGGGTATATCTCCGGCGGTTACAAGTACACCATGATGGACGAGCCCCCGGCCCACCAGGCGCTCATGAACTTCGCCGACAAGTTGCGCGAGCACGGGATCCCGTGCTCCGCTCACCAGATGAGCTCCGGCTATTCCATCGCGGAGACGGAGCCCAAGGTCCGCAACGTCTTCACCTGGAACAAGCACCGCTTCCCCAACCCCGAGGAGTGGATCGCCAAGTACCATGCGCGAGGCATCCGTCTTCTGACGAACATCAAGCCCTTCCTCTTGGCGTCGCACCCGGACTTCCAGAAGCTGGTGGACGCGGATGGGTTCTTCAAGGATCCAACCACCAGCGAGCCGGGTTGGATGAGACTCTGGAGCGCAGGAGGCGCGACGGGGGGTGACGGATGCCACATCGATTTCACCTGCGCCGCGGCGTTCCGGTGGTGGTACGAGGGCGTTCAGAGCCTCAAGCATGCGGGGATCGATGGCATGTGGAACGATAACAATGAGTATACGCTCCCCAACGACGACTGGCAACTGGCCGGCGACGAACCCACCGTGGTCATCGCCGACGCCGACGCCAACGCCACTGCGAGGAAGACTCCAAACTCTGTCGGCCTCTGGGGCCGGGCAGTCCACACGGAGCTCATGGGCAAAGCCTCGCATGATGCTCTGCTGGATCTGGAACCCAACCAGCGACCCTTCGTTCTCACCCGGAGCGCCACGGCGGGAACTATGCGGTACGCCGCCAGCACCTGGAGCGGAGACAACGTCACCAGCTGGGAAAGCATGAAAGGCGCGAACGCACTGTCGCTGAGTGCGGGGATCTCTCTGCTGCAATGCAGCGGTCATGATATCGGTGGTTTCGAAGGTAAGACCTTGCCCCCTCCCCCGCCCCCCCCTCTCGCTCAGCAAATCCCATACATCTAACCCCCTCCTCACCAGGCCCGCAACCCTCCCCCGAACTCCTCCTCCGATGGATCCAACTAGGCATCCACTCGCCGCGCTTCGCAATCAACTGCTTCAAGACCAGCCCCGGCAACAGTTCCATCGGCGAAGTCATCGAACCGTGGATGTACCCCGAGATCACGCCGCTGGTGCGCGACGCGATCAAGCGCCGCTACGAGATGCTGCCGTACATCTACTCGTTGGGAATAGAGAGCCACCGGACAGCCTCGCCGCCCCAGCGCTGGATCGGCTGGGGCTACGAGTCCGACCCGGAGGTGTGGACGAAGCCCCTGAAAGCCGGCGACGAGCAGTTCTGGTTCGGGGACACAATCCTGGTCGGCGGCGTCTACCAGCCCGGCGTGAGCGTCGCCCGGATCTACCTGCCCCGTAAGGCTGGTGCAAACGACCACGGCTACGTCAACCTCAACGCACCCTACAACCACCTCGCCGCGGGACAATGGGCCTCCATCCCGTCCGAATGGCGCACGAGCATCCCCTTGCTCGCGCGCGTTGGCGGCGCGATCCCCGTGGGCAAGGCGGTGCAGACGCGCGTGCCGGGCGACGAGACCGCGGCGTCGCGGGCCGTCGAGGAGGTCGACGACTACCGCGGCGTGGAGATCTTTCCCCCTCCGGCGGCGGCGGCGGCGGCGTCCCACAGGCAGGTCTTCGTCAACTCTTGGTACGAGGATGATGGGATCTCGGTCCGGCCGCGCATCGCCCGGTATACGGTCCGGTATCGCGCCACGCGGGAGACGGTCGTTGTGGGGTTTGCGCGCGACGACGAGGAGGCGGGCGAGTTTGTCCCGGCATGGAGGGATTTGGATATTATCCTGCACTGCGGGGATGAGAGGTGTGTTGTGGCGGAGGATGGAAGGAGTACGGTGGTGTTCAAGGGGAAGGATAGCCGGGGCCGCGTGGTTTATACCTTCAAGAATTAAGCCAAAACTGGAATGGAAAGGGAAAGGATGGGGCCACACCAAGTCCTTGACTTGAGATATCATCAGAGTTGGAAGGGGCTCATGTATATCTGAATAAATTAGATGAGATGTCAATGACAAATGCTAAAAGCTTATGGTGTGCACACTTACAACTCTGGAATAGATGGCTGTCATCCATGTTGGTTTGGCAACTAACATTGAGAGTGGTGTTCTGTCCATCGATTCACTTAGACAAGATGTTCTAAGAAAGACACAGGTAGGAATTCTCAAGAACTCGGCCCATCGATGATGGGGCAAATCTACAATGGTTAACTTATTTACTATCCAGCCTGGCCCAAATGGCAGCTCCCAGTTGTCCGAACAATAATACACTATATACAGTTCGCCACAATTCAATCGGAAATAAAGACGATTCAAACGTAAAGGTAGGTCCTCGGGCTCCAGCGCGCATTTGTTCGCTCGGCTTGCTCGGCTCCAATTCCACCCGCGCATGCAACAATAATATATCATCAACGAAGGTGGGGAATGATTATCTCTCAATGCTAGAAACTTGTGTCCTGTATTAGCGCCATACCATAGCCCATGGCGCTTGACCTGATTTTCAATGTAGAGGTCATATACAACATGTCTGATCATGCAGCTCTACTCTTGTCCGAAACCCAATGTCTCTTCCACAGCAATGGACATCTTGTGTTCCAGAGCTTCGTGTGTCTTGTACGGAGGTAGATCCAGACGGTTGAAGCTGGGAAAGTTAGCTAGCTGCTTAAGATGAAAGAAGCCAGGGGGCATACCAAGTGTGCGACTTGGGCAATGCGTTGGGATCGCCCGATTTCTCGATAGTGAACCGGCGAGGCCCGTCCGAGCCTTGCAGATCTTTGAATCCGTTGACCGGAATACGCGAGGTACCAGTGGTGAACTGCAGGAGACGAGACTTTTGTTCGGCATCCCAGCTACGGACAATCTTCCAGAAATTCTGGATGACTTCGTCCTGCTCCTGGTAGCCGCGGTAATCGGTGTGTTTCTTCCAGTCGTCAACATCGATATCCGCAATACCACCAATCAACAATTCCAACTCGCGCTCGTCAAACACGTTGACCAGATCGGCCGGAATCAGCTCGTTGAACCCAGACATGAAGGCATTGAACTGCTCCTCCACCCGCTTCACAATCTTCCACTCCGTCACCAATCTATAACCGTCAGCGAAGTCCACCAGCTTACAAGCACGAGCAACTTACTCAACATATTCATGCTTGTTCTCGTTCGTCACCGGAATGTCGCGACCGCCCGGCTTCAGGTCAACAGTGGTACGCTCGCCGAACTTCTCGTCATCAACCGCGAACGTCAACTCCAAAACACCGTCGATGTCGTTCTCTCTGTTATGCGTAAGACGGAATACTCAAAACCCTCCATTCAAGGCACTTACAGAGTCCATGTCAAGTTGCGGTGCAAGTCCTCATCAACACCCTCCATGTCCTGGAGCGAGACCTTCTTTCGCAGCATCATCTTATAGAAGGCGCCAATGAAGAAGGAATCCAAAAATCGACGATGGAAGATGGCCAAGCCGACAACTCGTCCGATGAACTTGAAGTAGTTCAGGTGCTCCGGGTTCACTCCAGAGTGAGGATTAATTTGAAGGGTATAATTATCGTGCGCGGAATACTCGAAAAGACAATAGAACGGGTTAAACATTTCGTGAGAAAGAAGGAAGAAGAATTCACTGTAATTGTCAGATCCGTCACGACTCTTAAGAGAAGACATGGGCAGACTTACCGTGAGAGACCACCATAATCCAAACCATCTTCGCCATCGAACTTGATCATCAAGCGCTTCTTGAGATCGGAAGCGCTCTGCCGCATGATCTCGGCGTATGAGTCCTCGAAGATGTTGTTACGTCGGACCTTGACGTGGCACTGTCCAGACATGATACGCAATGCCGGTTGAGACCGGAAGTAGATCAGCTTGCGTCTGAAGTCACGCTTGTACTGCGGTACGCCCTGATCCAGAGAGGAAGGCAAACGGGGGTCATCCCAGGTGGTCGTCTTGGTGTTGTGATCCACGAAGTACACTCGGGCTGTATTCGTCAATCGCATCTCCCATCCGCTGGGCAGCGGACCCAACTGCGACACCGGCTGCTGCTGAATCGTGGTATTGGTGCCGTTGGAATTCTGCCCGTACATGCGAATGTACTGTTGACGCCGAGGATCCACCCAAGTCGTAGTGCGGGTGTTGTGGTCCACGAAGTATGGCCGGCCCTCAGGTGTATTGCGCTGCTCCCATCCGGGTGGGAGCTCACCAGTGCCTGCAGTGGTAGCTCCCGTCGCCATCATAGAAACTGCATTGGCGCTGCCTCCTGCCGGAGGTGTTTGAGCCTGCGGCGGCGCCGGCTGCTGTTGGCCCTCAGCCAGGTTCGGAGAATTGGCACCCGTGCGGTCTTCGGGCAGCATTCGACTCTGATGGGCGCGACGCTCCAGTTGCATGTTGGCTTCGCGCTGCGTACGCTGCGTGTGTTCGTTGTAGTTCGATGATGGCCGAGTCCAAGTCGTAGTCCGTGTGTTGTGGTCAACGTAGTAGGTCCGCCCCAGATTATCTTCTCGGCGCTCCCAGCCCGCTGGCAACCGGCCCTGACTGTCTTCAAACGAGCTCAGGTTGGTGCGAGAGCCTTGCTGACCATTGGCTGGTGCAGCCGGGGCGCCATTGGGCGGCGGAGCAATGATGCTGGTCGGTCGGGTGGTCGAGGGAACACGCTGAGGGTTCAGAGACGCAGTAGAAGCGGCGGCGGACGAATCGACCGGGCCGGGACCGACCGGAGGATGCGGTGACGATACTTGCGGGACAAGTCCACTGGATGTCGATGGCTGAGCATGTGAACGATGCAAGCCATTAGCCTGGTTAGGGATGGGGGTGGTGAGGTTGGTGGACAGATTGATGATAAGCTTTCCATGAACGACCAGATTGTCGTTGGATTTCTTGAGGTCGCGGGTGAGCATTTCTGTTGCAGGCAAGGCAGATGCCTTGCGTTAGCCGCGGAGATTCAGCATGATAAGAACATAGCGACTCACCATCACCACCCATCTGTAAATCGATCACGTCGCCAATCCGTACATTGATAACACCAAGGAATCCCTGATCCTTCTTCTTGAACTTCTTCTGGTCGAAGATCTGGATTGCGAGAATACTGTCCTCATTGACTCGTCTGCAGAAAATCCCGCCGTCAGATTCCGAGACCAGCAGTTGCACCACGCGGAGCTCCTTACAGATCAAACATTTCATTCCAGTAAGGGTTCAGCGTCTTCTTGATTACCGACGTCGTGTGGGTTTGTTCGCCCCCAACGGTGGCCACCGCAAAAGGATCGGGGAATCCTGCGATACGTCAGCCCCAGAATGCATGGCTTGATGAGATCTCCTTGCGGAACTTACGGAAGACATCACGCTTGTATAGACCGTCCGCGGCGATAACTGTAGGATCACGCTCTCCGTCAGTCTCCATCCATCCGTAGGCGCCATCCTCGACAGTCGAGAAAGGGGCATGGGCTTCTTACTTGTGACCCGAAGATTTGGCTGACTGCAGAAAGTATCTCTATTAGCATCCATTCGAATCCGGATTATGCACGCATGACACTTTCGTGAAGGAAAATGATCGTGCCCGCCTTAAGCAAGGGAGGGAAGGGAGGGGGGGGGGATGAGGGGTTGGGACGAGGGGGAAAGAGGGGAGGGACGCTTGCACATACGCAGGCAGGTTGGAACCCATCCTGAACTGAACCGATCAGTGCAGGCGATAAAGTGCCTTTGGGTGCAAAAAAAGCCGATCCAGGCAAGCCTCAAAGGGTGATTCGCGGTGTGCGCATCCACCGCTGTCGACAGGCACGGACCCCAACAGCAGCAGTCGAGTAACAGTGGTGATCGTGATAGTAGGCAGGAAAAGTCGGTGGGTGGGGGTGGTTGGAAGGGCGTTGGAACTGGTCAACTCAATGGGAAGAGAGGGGAAGATCCGGAAGCGATTCGAAGGCGAATAAATTGGACGAGGGAAAAGTGGTGGATAGGCGGCGATAAGAGGCGATTTCAAGGAGAGGGAAAAGAGAGAAAGAGTGAGCGCGAGCACTAAGGCTTGACGATGGAGGCGCGCGGACTTCTATGGGGCTGAGCAGGGCAGTCCTGACGTTGCGCCTTCGGAACCAATCACGACCGAGCGAGGGGTTCAACCAGGAGGAGCAACTGGAGGAGGACTCGGAAGAAGTACTACTACTAGGTAGGCTAGGTAGCAAAGTAGTAGTAAGAATGCTCATAAAAGAAGGGAAAGGTAGTGACAGCCTGAAGTCAGACAATACCAGGTAGTAGTCAGCTCTTCCGTAAGAATCCTACCTCCCCAGAGGATTCGTGGGAAGAGAGTGTGGTAGTGGTGTGGTTGGTGGTTGTGGTCGTGGTCGTGGCAAAGGGAAAGGAGGGGAAGTGCAGTGGTGGTGGTGGTAGGAGGAGGAAGAGGGAGGAGGGACGGAGTACAGTAAGAGAGAGAGAGAGAGAGAGAGAGAGAGAGAAGAGAGGAGGAGTAAGTCAGCCATCAATGGCGGATAAGCTACGGAGTTCACTACAACTACCTTACACTTCTTGACACCAACATCACCACACTCACTCTTGAGATTGATATTCTACCCATCCTAGACCAATAACCTATGAACCGAGCATTATTCTCATGATTCATTCCCATCAGAGTCAGAACCACATCCCTTAGGGCTGCAAATATCCCCCCCAAAAACATCATCAGCTGAGTTTTGCTCCCGGGAAAACATGGGAAAGTAATGAAGTAATCAGCGCCCTACTGAGATAGTAATAATTGGTACCCTTTCATTATTCGTTGCACTATTTCCCAACACCAAACCAGGGGAGGAGAACAGATTAGATTTTCAGTCGCATCATGGGGAGGTTGCACTGGAACGAAACCTAGGCGATGGAATTAATAGAACAATACTTGGTTTTCCAGCCAATCACCCGGCTTCAAAAGGACTGTGATGGCCTGCTTAACAAGGCAACAAGATTATTTCCAGATTGCAATTCACTCATAGTTGTCTTTCTCCGGTCTTACATCTTCCGGGCTCTATTGACCGAAGAGAAGAAGGAAAACACCCCGAATAAGTTATTGAACACATAACCCCCCCTGACCGTGCCAGATCTTCTCCCTCATTACGACTCTTCTTTGATGGTGGGGACCCAATGAACGTCGCAATTCCGGTTGCTCTGCTCCGCTTCCTTAGACAAACTCGTCAGCATCGCCGTCTAGACTGGCTGAAGTACCGTCCGTGCCGGTCCTTACCCGGATTGGAGGCCATAAGGCCACAAGTTCAGGGTTATCATGCGCAAACATGATATCGTAATTAATTAGCTCGTGGCTAAACCGCTGTGACGCAATCCCTCATCTCCCTGTTCATCCTGTTCATTAGTCAGTACTACGGACCGAGACCACAACAGATCGGGACCCGGTGACAACCATGGATTTCTTCGATGAAGAAGCTGTCAAGAAGACTGGTTTTCAGGTGCAGATTCCTATTGCGGTGGATTTTTCTTTGAGAAGCGTAGTTTCATGACCGTCCTGGTCCTTTTGAGGAGGGGTTTAGCAGGCAATTCCTGCTCGTAAAGCAATTCTCTGTAGCTAGATATCACAGGTATTCCGCCCATCTAACCCAGTCCGAGATTGCCAGAAAGGTTATCATACAAACGTCCATTCCAGTAGGTTGACTCCAAAGACAATTAGAAAATAAAGAAGTTTCTCCCTTTATTCAGAGAGACGCGCACACGTGCATCAGAGCGACCACGACCATCATGGTCAACCCGGACGTCTTGGTAGCGCTGGGGCTTCGTGCGATGACCTCTGTTCCTTGCGCAGACGAATACCACCCCGTATACACTGAACTGGGGCTTGACGTTTCTCTAGTAAGGCGCATAGCCCCGACCCCGGCCACGATAACCGCCGCGATAACCGCCGCGAGGCGCGAAACCTCCGCGGTAGCCCCGACCGCCACGGAAGCCACCCCGTCCGCGTCCTCGGGTCATACCCGGCAAGTTGGTACGCTTGGGAACGACCTACCGCATCAGAGTATTCAGTCAGTATCGATGGTGAAAAGGGGGAGTTTGATTGCAAGAGGAAGCACCTTCAGGTTCCGGCCGCGGAAGACACTCTCGTTCAGTACAAGGGCCTGGGCTACCAGACTTGGCTCTGCAAATTCAACATAGGCATATCTGTAGTCGTCAGAAGTCAGCCAATCTTGTAACACGACCGAATTCAATGCGCTGCAACATACCCCTTGGGCTGCCCGGTGAACTTATCCAACAGGATGGTGACCCGGTTTATCGAGCCACAGCTCTGAAAGTGTGCTTGGATTTCCTCGGGGGAAGCACCATAATCCACATTGCCAACGAAGATACTCCGGGCATCAATCTCTTCTTTGTCCTCACGTAGGCTCTCCGACTGCTGATCGAGCGTGGCTTGCATCTCGCGCAGCTTGGCCGCCTCAGATTCCATCTCGGCTACCCGCTTCTTCATCGCCGCAATTTCCTCCTGTTATGGACAAGGATACTCGGGTTAGAACGAATGTCATAGTTGCGAATGTGTGAATCAAATGAGGGCAGCGGTCGGGAGCCAGCGCTCAGAATCCCAGCAAGCAGCTTCAAGCCAAAAAGGACGGTTTTTACCTCATCGTCACCTGCTTCCTCAGGCTGCTCCAGGTGCTCATCTTCAATCTTGTGTTCTTCTGTCGCCATGTTGAATAGGGGGGTGTGGATTTCGATTGTCCGTTCGAGTCCGTTTACACCACGGGGTCGCAAAGTGAAAGCTCGAGCGGGCACCGATAGCTTTCCCGCCGGGTTGGGGCTGGTCAAGTGAGCTGCGGGTAGGAAATTGCTGGAAAAATACAAGATCCGATAAGATAGGAGCGATATGCAACTCCCAGAATTGGGTGTGTAGCGGTCGGTGGGGAGAAGGACCAAGGCAAAAGCTGATTCAATGGAAGACTGGAAGTGGAGGAAAGTGAACGTGATGCCTGCGTTTGATTGTCCCCGAACTTACTGCCTACTCTTTCCGGCTTAGCTCTTTGTCAACTGGAACATCCGCCGCCGACTCGGTCGTCAATAGTCGAGTATTGGATTGCGGCACGCGAAATGCTTTCGATCCTCACCCTATTGCTGATCGTTGACTACTGCTACCTAGTAGGCACAGGCATCAATATTGAGTGGATTAATAGGACCAATAGAATTGAAGACTATGCTGAGAAAATTCCCTCACACCAGCCACTTCTTCTAAATCCAGTATCTCTAGCGTTTAGAAATACCCGATCACAGTGATACACTACAGCGAGACTAAGTACTTGCAAAGACGAAGCCAACAGCCTGTCAGCCATCATCTGGGCAACTCTAGAGGAATTGACATTGCGAGATCAAACGAGACTCGGCCACATTGAGGCCACATGATGCGACACTACGATCCCCAAGCAAGCCGCAGTTTAACCATATCTAGCCAGTACTCGATCCTGATCTCTGGTTCGAATGCGCTCAGCAGCCTGGTTGCGACACAATTCGTGTATAGGCACTCGAGCTTTGGGGCTGTCGGGGCAGGAAAGGAGCGACCAACAAGGAGGAAGTCATTATCGTGTCAGATCTATGGTTATGTACAAGAAAAATAGATAGGAGCGTCAACTCATGAAGAAGCGATGTTGTTCTTGCGGTAGGATACTTTCTCCACGGCAACCGTCTCAGCCCCGTTGGCATCCGTCTTCAACTGGTAAACATAAAGCACGAGAACATCACCTTGGATCTACCGCGATGATTAGCATCAGGTCGTCTCAGCCGTCTGTGGCAGCTCTGCAACTCACATCCATCAAGCAGAAGCTGGGTGTGGGCTCATCTCCCTCGGCCCAGTATCCTGTGCTCATCGCACCCGTGGCACTGCCGGGGTTAATGAAGAATCGGCCTTCCAGCTCGAAAGCCTCGAATCGATGGGTACCGCCCCACAGCAGAATATCCACGTCCATCTGACGAGCGGCGATCAAGAGAGCATCCGCATCTCCTGGGGGGATGATTGTATGGCCATGCGTAAATCCGATGCGCAGGCTGCCGTGGGTCACGACCTTCGAGAGAGGGAGATTGGGGGAATCGACATCGAAATCTCCTTTAACCAGTTGTAGGTCAGGCGCCACCTGCCGGAGGAATTCAAATGTGTTGCGATCGGTCAAGTTGCCGAGACAGAGAATCTGGCCGATCTTGCCCGGCGTCAATAGTTTCTTGAACTGTGTTGCGATTGTGTCAATAGAGGATAAGTGGCAATTGTCAGGAGGGCCATGGGTTATGGCCGAGCAGAAAGTCGCACCTTTGCGGGGAGGTCCTATATAAGAATGGGTTTGAAAGTCAGTCAACTGTTTGTTGTTGCGGGGGATGATCAACAACATACGGGAGCTCTGTCAGGGATGAACAGGTCGCCGATGACGAGGACCAGGCGCGAAGTCATTCTGAACGGTGCGGTCACGTTCACTCAAGGCCCAATTTGAGATTGAGCTATGAGTCTATGGAATATGTTCAGTAACAAACTGACGGGTGCAGATGTATGGAGTGCACAGTTGTCTGATGGAGATATCAATTAAGCTACCTAACGTAAGAGGGAGTGACGACTATCTAGGCTGGCGCCCCTATCGCTGGAGCGGCGCGGGGAAAGCTTAGGCTATTCCAACGCCGATGCCATGCGCCTGACAGCCCTATGCCCTAGAAGCAGGACCAGTTCGGACTAGTCCGGGCTGCTTACATCTATGAAGGCCGGCGTTCCTGCGTACTGGTCTGCATCTACTGGACTGCTGGGAGACATAAGAAAAGGGACTGGGAAAATGTGGGAAGAGTGAGGGAGGAATACGAGTGGGCGAGAAACGTCTTGCTCTATTATACTACACCTGCAGGACAGCCTGGAATACCACGAGTAAGAACGGCAGTTGACATCGTCATTCATCCTCAGCCGCGCAAGTATACGGAGCAAGTAGGCGGGCTCGCATAAGCCCTGCAAGCCAATAAATAATGGTTGTTCGGATATACTATCCTCATTCTTGCTCAGACACTAGTTCCATGAGTCAATGCAATGTGTCTTTAGATTCCTTCCCCAATTGTTTCCACGGCAGGGCCCGCCCGTTGGAGGCATCCGTCGCTTTACGGCCGATAGAAGGCAAGGGAAATGGGGGAAATAATGCGCCAAAGGGGGAAAGGAACCAAACCAACCATTGAGAGCTGAAAAAAATCTCCTCGATTGATCAGCACACCTGGGACTTTTTCCCCCCGTTTGTAGTTATCGTCTTACAATTGTTTCTCCTCATCCTCACATCCAACTCTACCAGTACTATACACCATCAATACTCTTCACCCAAGCAAATCAATCCATCCGGAAAGCGAACCCGGCGATCCCGGCGATCCCCGGCCCTTTCCCCTCTCCCTCCTCCCCGACAAGCCCAGTCAACGCCTGGGTCCCCCCCCTCCTCCATCTCACCAGCAAACCAGCAAATCCCCCTCCCCCTGCGGGCTCTCCCGTAGAGAGCCG